GGTCAGTGAGAGCAAGGTGAGGTCAGTCAGAGCAAGGTGAGGTCAGTCAGAGCAAGGTGGTGTTCAGATGAATTAGAAGAGGACAACAGAGGAAAAAAGAAAAAAAAAAAAACCTTAGGATTGTTATAAAAACCAAAGATAAACTCGGAGCAGAGGGATTGAGAAGAGCCTTGTGTTCTTAAAGGAAAGAAAGTCCAAAGGGGGATTTGATTCCACAAAAATACTCAAGTCTCTAAGTTTAAAAATATTAATGCAAAAATGTAAGAAGTGGAGCAGGGAGGGTGGCTCAATGGGCAGAGTGCCAGGCAGAGTGCAAGAATGAGAGCCTGGGTTGGTCCCCAGAACCCACATAAAAAGCCAGGTGTGGGGCTGGGTGTTGTGGCTGAGTGGGAGAGCACTTTCCCGGTATGGACAAGGCCTTGGGTTTCATCTCAACACTAACAAAAAATAGAATATACGAAAGCTGGGTGTGGCAGGCAGCACAGGCCTGTAATCCCAGCGTTGGGAGAGACAGGCAGATCCCTGGGGCCAAATCAGTGAGTTCCAGGTCAATGAGAGACACTGCCTCAAAAAAATAAGGTAGAGAGACACTGAGAGAGATCCCAATGTCAATCTCCAACTTCCACACACATGAACACGTGTACACACACACACACACATGTATACACACACAATGTAAGAAGGAAGTCACAAAATGGACTTAGTAGGTTGCATATACATGAGAAAAGAATGGCAATTTGTCTTTAAGATAGTCAGAAGATAGAAACAGAAGGTCCTTGCTGGTATTTAGGAGCGCCAATTGATAGTGAGGCCTGTAACTTCACAACTGATCAAAGAAACAGAAGACCACGGAGCCACACTTTGTGCATCTGTCTAGGAAAGAGACGGTAAGTGGGAAGCAGGGTGGTGAGGACTCGGTGCAAGGCGGTCCCCAGTCGGGAAGGTCGCTGGGCAATGCCTCTAACGTTTTCATTACAGGGAGTTATACTAAGAAAATAATCAGAGATAACCAGAATTTTATGAATGTTCGTGATTGATTAAGCCATCAAGAAAGGTAGAAACAACTTAACTGGAGAAAAAGAGAGGTACGGTCAAGAGAAATTATGGTCTATAATTCAGCTCCTGTGTGCGTGTGCATGTGCGTATGTGTGTGTTGGTGTGTGTGTGTGTGTATGTGTGCGTGTGTGAGTGTGTATGTGTGCATGTGTGAGTGTGTGTGTGTGTGTGTGTACGTGTGTGTGTATACAGGTGTGTGCATCCATGTGTGTGCAGAGGTCAGAAAAAGGCATTCTGTGTCCTATCCTATCACTCTCCACCTTCTTCCCCTGCCACAGGGTCTCCACAGTGAACCTGGAGTTAGTCTGGAAGCTGGAAGTCCCAGCAGCCCTCTTCTCTCTGTGCCCAACAGCACTAGAGTTACAGGCATATGGAGCTGTGCCCAGCTCTTTACACGGGGATGGGGAATTTGAACTCAGATCTTCATGATTGCACAGCAAGCATTCCTAACCACTTAGTCACCTCCCCAGCCCTGAACATTCTTACAGCAAAATTGGCTTTATAAAAAAGGCTATGACTAATGAGTTCATATACCTGAAAATTAAAAGTATGAGAGGATACACACACACACACACACACACACACACACACACACACACGGGGGTAGTTAAGAAGTTGGCTGGAGAGTGAGCTCAGTGATTAAGAGCACGTGTTGCTCTTAAAGAAGAACTGGGTTCAATTCTCAGCACCCATATGGTGACTCACAACCATGTGTAACTCCAGTTCCAGGGGATCTGGCACCCTCTTCTGGCCTCCTGGGCACTGTACACATGAGGTACACAGACATATATTTAAGCACACCACCACACATAAAGCAAAAAAAAAAAAAATGTCTTTTTTTTTAACTGAAGAGGATTATTCCAAATTATACCAAAATGGTGAGGCATTGTCTAAAGTGATCATCATTTGATGACTGGAGTAAATGGATCTAAATTTTCTTTTATTTTCCTTAATTTGCAATGTTAGTCCAGGGCTCCAGAGATTTTCTACATCAGAAAAAGAAATTATCAGATTGTTACTGCCTGAGACAGGAGCCTGCCTAGCTCACGTCTCCCTCAGTCATCTGACAGAGCAGCTTCAGGAGATCCAGGCTGCTGGGAGCCAAGACACAGTAACCCAAAGAGGGAAGCCTTTTCCCTCCATTGTGGATAACAAAATACTCTTGAGATGATGTTGGTGTGTGACTGCAGGATCACACATGCTAATCACGCTGGCTACTATTCTCTTCAGGGCCAATTAGCAGCACCTGGTACTCAACAATAAGAATCTGAATTAAGACAGAGCTCCAACACCATGTCTGAGCAGAATTCAGATTCTGTTCCCTCAACTTTGAGGAGACCACTTGGGTCTTTGCCAGGCTAGAGGAGCCGAGATCCCTGGCTGCCGTGAGCAGACCAGAATGGCACCATGAACAGTCTTCTACATGACAGTCACCTCCCCTCACCACCTCAGCAGACCTGGGTGAGCCAGCCCAGCTGGGCCAGCATGCATACTTATCTTTTTCTGCTGCTGGTTGAAGTTGTCAATAATAACGCCGATAAAGAGGTTCAGGGTGAAGAACGAGCCAAAGATGATAAAAACCACGAAGTAGAGATAGGCAAAGCGATTTGCCTCAAAATCTGGCTGCTCATCTTTCTGTTGGGGACATTTTAATGAGAGAAAAACAGTTACTGAAGAAAATTCAAGCCGCCCTAGCTGCCTAGTCCAGAAGACCAGCATGGATTTCCCCAGCAAGTTTAACCACACAGCATCTTGCTGGCAGCTGTGAACCACTGGGAGCCTCTTCTTTGGATTTCTTGCTTAGCTCAAGGTACACAGGGTGGGGAGATAGGAAGCAGGAGGTTAGGGCTTTTCTCCCACCCAATGAGAAGCAGTAGGGGAGGAATGTGGTGGTGTTTGTCTTTTGAAAGTCTCCAAATGCCTGCACAGATAGGCCTTTGAGAATGAGCCCAGCAGAGGACACGTCTACCTCAAGAAGAGGTGACCGGACTTCACGGCTGTTCCACACCTCCCGGATGTCAACATTCTGCCTGTGGCTGTGTCTTCTCACTCGTGAGTTGCCAGCACCTGGCACACCTTCTCATAAGTAGATCCTCGAGGCACAGGAACGAGCCATGAATAAGTGAGTGAGAGAGTGAGCTCCTGTGTGGTCAATAGCTGATGACAGACATGCTTTCCCAGCTCAGGGCATGCCTCAAGCCACTCAAGAGCCTTCTTGGCCGGGCTTCTCTCTCTCATTCATTCATTATCTATCTATCTATCTATCTATCTATCTATCTATCTATGTATCTATCTATGTATCTATCTATGTATCTATCAATCTATGTATCTATTTATCTATGTAAAGAACATGTGTGATATGCATGCATATGTCTATGTTTGTTCACATGTGCTGTGCATATGCTTTTAAATTTATTTGTTTATGTGTGTGTGTGTGTGTGTGTGTGTGTGTAAGTATGCCATAGTAATTATATTTAGAGACCGGAACAACTTGCAGGAGTTGGCTCTCTCCTTCCACCATGTAGGTCAGAGGGGTCACACTCAGGTTGTCAGGCTTGATGGCAAATTACCTACTGAGCCATCTTTCTAGGCCTTGCTACCTTGGGCAGAGTCTCTCATTTGAACCCAGAGCTCCCCAGTCTATCAGCCCACTTGCTTCTGGGATCCCATCTCCATCTTCCAAGTACTAGAATCACAGGCAGAGAGTGTTTCCATGCCAACCCAGCATCTATGTGGATTCTGGGGATCCAAACTCTGGTCCTCACTCATACACACATATCACACACAGAGACAATAAATTAAAAAATAAACATTTAAATTGCATATATATGGCATCTGTAATTGAGATATAAATATTACAATAAACTATAACATTAACGGTTAAGTATCTTCTATTAGCTTTGGCTTTCCAGGAATGAGACTTTATTCATGTACTGAGAACCAAGCTAAGTGATTTGTGTCTGTGCATTATCTACATGTAGATGTCAGTCTGTGGAGCCATGAGGAAAGCAGTTAGCCGTGAAGACCCTCCTTCCTCAGTGCTGCATCTCTCCTGTTTCTGCTACTGTCTGTGGTCCTCACCACATCTCAGGCATCAACTCTGCAGCCTCCCCAATACAGTAACCACACATGCGTCATGATAAGAAACTAAGAAAACTTCCTCCTTTGCCGTCTGCTCACTGTCCAGCTCCGGTAACTCCCTTCCCAACCTTTAACTGAACCAAACGAGGAATGGGAAACAGACTAGACTACTGACTGCATTTCCAACTTTCTCTTTCACTGAAATTCCACAGTTGGAAACCACAACCTTTACTCCCCAGAGAACCTGAAGCCATGAGAAGTTACTTTCTTGCCCCAGTTTAGTCCAGTCTTAATGCTTCCCTGAGGTTAAGACAAGCAGGCTCTGAAAGGTGGTTTCCTCCTCTCTGTCACTTGGAGATCAGCTAGAGCACATCGGGCTGCCTTGCTAAGATGCTTAGACTCTGTCAACTCAACACAAATTAATGTCACCCGGGAAGAGAGATCCTCAACTGACAATTGCTTCTGTCAGACTGGCCTGTGGGAAAGTCTGTAGGGCATTTCCTTAATTCCCAGTTGATGCAGGAGGACCTATCCCTAGGTAGGTGGACCCAAGTTGTGTAAGGAACATAGCTGATCAAGCCAGAGAAAGTATGTTTGCTAGTTTTATGTCAACTTGACACAAGCTAGAGTCACTGGAGAGGAGGAAGCTTCGATTGAGAAAATATTTCCATCAGATGGGGCTGCAGGCAAACCTGCAGGACACAGCCCATTATGGGCAGGGCCATCAGTTGGCTGGGAGGATCCTGGATGCTATAGGAAAGCAGGTTGAGCAGGCCATGGAGAGCAAGCCAGCAAGCAGCTCCCTCCATGGTCTCTGCAGCAGCTCCTGCCTCCAGGTTCCTCCCTCCATGGCCTCTGCAGCAGCTCCCGCCTCCAGGTTCCTGTCCTGACTTGAGTTCCTATCTTTGCTTCTCCCCTCAATGGACTGTGATGTGTAAGCCGAACAAAGCATTTCCTCCCCAAGTTGCTTTTGGCCATGAGTTTCATTACAGCAGTGGTAACCCTAGGAAGGACAAGAAGTAGGCCAGTTTTTCTCTGGGGCCTCTGCTTCAGTTCATACATCCAGATTCCTACCTTGAGCTCCTGCCCTGGTTTCTCTCAGTGATAGCCTGTAACCTGTAGGTTTAAACAAACAAACAAAACCCTCCCCCTTCCCCAAGTTGGTTTGGTCAGCATGTTGTCACAGCAACAGAAAGCAAGTTAGGACACATGGGATTCTCTTCTTTCACCCTTCTCCCCTTACCACACAGAGGGAAAACGTTGGACTCTACAGAATACTGGGGTGTCAGGCCCAGCAGAATAGAGTAGAGCTCTTTTTATCAAACAATGTCTATAACATAGTTCTGCCTCCAGAAGAACAAGACAGAGAGGACCTGGAATGATAAAGTTGTCATGCAGGAAGTTTGGGGCTGTCTGGGTGCTCATATCATCTCTGGTTGGAGCGCAACATTCTAGAACATAGTGAGACATGGACTCACCCCTCTGGAATCAACAGCAGCCTTCATAATGTCCAGCCAGCCCTTATATGTTGCCTGAAACAGACACAGAAAAATTTGGACACAGCTGTAGACTTTTTTCATCGACAGATGCATGCCTGTGAAATATTGCCTGGCCCTGTGAGCAGGGTCCGTCCTGCCCCAGAGAGAGGTCCACACAGTAGAACGGTTGGAAGAAACGGGGTGGGAGGGAGTCATTCATTTTCTCTTTCTTCCTTCTCCAAGACTAGTGATTTTAAAACAAAGTGAATTGCTACACTATAGGTCATTTGGGAAGAGTGGGGTAAGGTTGGGCTACCTGCCCCACACCTGGTTGCTGCGGCTTAAAAAGAGAAGTATTGCCAAAAGCCTGCTCCTCCCTGGCAGATGCTCTCAACAGCAAGCGAGGAACCCCAGAAGACAAGGCAAGCCGAACAGACCCTGACAGGGGCCTTGGTATGTGTGATGGCTAGTCTTCACTGTCAGCTCGACTGGCTCCAAAATCACCTAGGGGTACACACATCGGGGAAGGTGGTGAAGGTGTTTTTGAGGAGGGTTAGTTGAGAGGAGAAGACTCGTCCTGAGTGTGGGTGGTATCATCCCACAGGGTTGGGGTCCCTGAGTGAATAAAAAGAAAAAGGCGATCCGAGCACCGGCACCCGCTTCTTTCTGTCCACTCCTGACTGTAGAGCCAGTGTGACCAGCTGCCATATCTAGAGAATCTGCTCCACCATGTCTTTGCTCCCCACCATGGTGGTCTAGTTCCTCAAACCACGGGCAAAAATAACCCTGCCTTAAGTTGCTTTTGTCAGGTGCTGTGGTTTAAATGATAAATACACCCATATCCTTGTGTGTTTGAACACTTGTCCCCCATCCCCGTGTTGGTGCAGATCATAGAATTTTAGGGTGTGGACCCTTGCTGAAAGAAGTGTGTCACTGGCATCGGGCTTTGAGGATTTATAGCCTGCCACCCCTCCTGTGTACAGATGAAATGTAATCAGCCAGCCTCCGGACCCTTCTATCATGCATTGCTCTGCGATGGAATGGGTTCCCTTTGGAGCTATAAGCTAAAATAAAACCTTTCTTCCCTAGCTTGCTTTTTGTTGGTTATTTTATCACAGCAACAGAACAGATACTAAGGTGTCAGGTGGTTTGTCAAAGAAATGAGAGACGTAACTAAGCTAGACACTCTCCGTGAAATTTCGCAAAGACGCCCCACCCCTGTGCCACCCCTGGGAAGAGGACTAGGATCCACAGTCTCGGTGGACTAATATGATTTTAGGCTTCCAGGTTTTCTCTCCCTGGAAGAAGACATACCCAAAGCACTCACCACCTGCAGCAGAGCGAGGTAGGCGTTCCCCACGTTGTCAAAGTTGACTTTCGGGACCTCCCACGAGTAATTGCTACTTTGACATTGGCTTTGGTTTCCAATTTCGGTATGATTCAAATATTTATTTATATCTGTTCCATTAATGCATCTTCCAAATTTCCCAGAAAAAAAATTTACTCCCAGGATGCAAAATATGAGCCAGAAAATGAGGCAGACCAGCAAGACATTGAGAATGGCAGGTATAGCACTGATGAGGGCGTTGACCACAACCTTTGGGAAGCAAGGCAGAGGAAAACATAGCAGATGGGGCGCCCAGCATGCTCCCCATCTTCCCCAGCGGACCTAGTGTGTGGGACTGGACCTCTAGAGTTACTTTGTCTTTACCCTGATCATCCCTCTCCCAACCCATGATGAGCTCTGCTTTCTGCTCATACGGCCACCAAGCATGACCTCAGAAGTGCCCTGTGAAGATGACACTAGACACGGGGCATGTCTTTACCTAGGATGCTGAAGGGAAGACAGAGGCGGCCTCCACTGTCAAGAAACAGACCATGGCATAGTCTTTTTCTCAGCTTCTCATAGTCCAGGCCCAGGTCTGGCTGTGTAGGACCCCAGTAAAAAACTGACCAAAGCCCGAGGGCAGATGACCTCTGCCTGTCATGTTAACTAAGTTTCCACCCATCCACCCAGACATGTACCTTCATTCCTTCAAACTGAGACAGCGCCCGCAGAGGCCTCAGTGCTCGCAGAGTCCGGAAGGACTTCAAGCTTGGTAAGTTCATGAGACTGACCACAGACACCTGTGAGAGGAGACACTGCTTGGTGAGGACAGCTGCCTGGGCAGCCAGGACTGCCAGCACAGGCTCAAGGGCTCATGTGCTCTCCTCTCTCTCTCTCTCTCTCTCTCTCTCTCTCTCTCTCTCTCTCTCTCTCTCTCTCTCTCTCTCTCTCTCTCTCCCTTTTTGCTTTTGTTCCCCCTTGGTGTGTATGCATCTGTCTGTCTGTCTGTCTCTGTCTGTCTGTGTATCTGTGTGTGCATGTGTGTGGAGACCAGAGGTCAACTTGTGGTGTCTTTCTCAATTGCTCTCCACCTTATTGTTTGAGACAGAGTCTCTCACTGAACCTGGAACCAAATCCACTAAGAATGACTGGCCAGTGAAGCCTAGCATACCCTTGTCTCTGCTTCCCTAGTTCTGGGGTTACAGATGTGTGCTGCTCTGCCCAGTTCCTAGTTCCGGGGTTACAGATGTGTGCCACTCTGCCTGGTTCCTAGTTCTGGGGTTACAGGTGTGTGCCACTCTGCCTGGTTCCTAGATCTGGGGTTACAGATGTGTGCCACTCTGCCTGGTTCCTAGTTCTGGGGTTACAGGTGTGTGCCACTCTGCCTGGTTCCTAGTTCTGGGGTTACAGATGTGTGCTGCTCTGCCTGGTCTTTACATGAATGCCAGGGATCCACACTTAGAGCCTCATGCTTACATGATCACCTCTCCAGCACTATCGAGGACTCTATTTCTGAGGTGTTGAGCACAGTGGCAAGCCAGATCCTGCTGGAAGGGCAAGAGCAGTTGCAGTGAGGAGTGTGTTTGTATCACTTGAATCACAGAAGACACTGAGAAACTGGTGTGAATTCAAGGAAACCAGATGGCCATGACATCAACACACAGGGCAAGCCCATAAATCAGATCCTAGATTGGGCGGGAGCATGTGTTGGATGGCTACATTACAAAATGTGTGGTCAACATTAAGTATTTTTTATTTAGTACTGGGGAGATAACAGAAAAGTGCCTGCCTCTCATGAATGAGGGCCTGGGTGTGGGTCCCAGCACCCATGCAAAAAGCCAGGTGTGGAAGCCCATGCCTGTCATTCTAGGGATGGAAGGTGGGGACAGGAGGACCCCGAGGAGGCCAGCTAGCTTAATGTACATGGTGAAGCTCCAAGCCGTGGAGAGATCCTCCAATAGACAAGAAATGGAAGACACCCGAAGACAGACATCTGTGGTTGTCCTGACAGCCATACTTAGGCTATACACATGCAGTGTACATCCAAACCCTTAGGTGAACTCACACAAATTCACACATGTGTGCATGTACACCATGCAAAAAAAATAAAGTGTTTGAATGCATCATATTTAAAATAATGTTTTTACTTTGTTGGGAGAATATTGAAGCAGTTTCCAGCAAACTCTCCTCTTCTACTCAGAAAGTATACTGATAAGTCTTTCTGCCAAGCTGCCAGAGTCCCGCCACCATGTGGGCAGTCAAAATAACACATAGAGTCTTATATTAGTTTACAATGCTGCTGGCCAATTGACTAGGACTTCTTATATGCTAGCTCAGTCTTAATTATCATAAATCTATTTATTTTATAAGACTTATCTTATTGAGGACACCTGGATGGGTGCCCACGTGGTGGCAGGGCTCAGGCGGATGGAGTAAAGACTGATTGTAACAAGAAAGGACGGCGAAGGTGGCCTGTTCTGAAGTGCCAAAGCAAGGCTCTCATTATGGGAGGGGACATTAGGCACCTCTTCATCTCAGCCTCAAGTTAGTTTCTGTTCCATCAAATCTGGAGATCGTGATCAGATTCTCCCACAAAGCAGCCATGATCTTTTCCACTGTCATCTCTGTTCAAAGGGACAGGTATTCCAGTTTTTATTTTTATCTTTTCCTGACTTGCATTGATCATTCTGCTCTTTTTTGAGCACCCCCCATGGTGTATAATGTAAATTGTATATTGTGTATTATACACCATGATGCTGCTACTTCCCGTTTTTTTGTATGAATGTGAGTACCTGCACCCAGCCACACATGTTAAGATCAGAGGACAGCCGGCAGGCGTCTCTTCTCTCCTACCATGACCTGGCTCAAGCACCTTCACCCACTATGCTAACTCGCTGGCCCATACCGTTAACTGCTTTGGAATATCACAGGACACAAGAGGTCACATTTTCCGGACCTGTTCTCCTTTGGTAAATGACTAGGCTTCCTCCCTTTCTTTGTTGTAAAAAATATCATAAGCTGACAGACATGTGTGTTTTTCTTGGATACATGTCCAAGAGTTTCCACGGGATCTATACTAGGAAGTGGCATGTCTAGCTTATAAATAGGCACGGTTTGTAATTTTATCGAATAATGCAAAACTTTCCCCATAATGGCTATTCCAATTAAGTTGTTAGCTGTGATTAGAGATTTTAATTTCCAATTCTCTTCTTAATTCAGGTGTCACTTAACTGTAAAAAATGTTTTTCAGTCTGGGTGATGCGAACTCTCACTCGTGAAATGAGTCAGCAATTATTCACACATGTGTCAGCAACCCCAGTTTCTCCCATCTGTGCCCTTGCTCAGTCTCACCTTTGGGTGTCAACTTCCATGTGATTTGTATCATATAGTTCATATATTATGGATATATACTAATACCTGTCATGTGCACAACAAATACTAAGTCCTGGGGTCTAATTTGTCCTTAGTTACAATTTTAGCATTGCTGAGTAGAAAATAGAAGTTGTACGTTTTCAAGGAGTTGAGCTTACATATTTTTATGTTTTAGGTTTGTGTTTTCCTACTCCAAAATTATTGTAAGTATCGTTAACCTTTTTCCCATTTATTTATTGTGGGAGGGCACTGTGTAGAGCTCGGAAGTCAGAGGACAACTTGCAGGACTTGGCTGTCTCCTTCTACCATACAAGCTCTGAGGATTGAACTCAGGTCATCAGGTTTGGTGGCAAGCACCTTTCCTACTGAGCCATCTCATGGCCCCCATTGTATGTAATCTTGATTGATTTGTGTGTAATCTTGGTGGTTTTAATAAGAATGGCCCCCCATGGCTCATCGTTAGTGGAACTAACTGCTTGGTAGGATTAAAAGGATTAGCAGGTGTGGCCTTGGTGGAAGTGTGGGAGAGGGGGGGTTTTGAGGTTTCAAAAGTGCTTGCTCACACTCTCCATGTGGATCAGCTCCAGCACCACGCCTGCCATGACCACTGCCTGAGCTACATGAGAACCCATCTCAAAAACAAGCAAGGGTTACGCTTGTCTCGTTTGGTTAGTTTACAGTTCCCCTCGTCTATCCTTCAAAACAGCTTGGTTAATATTGAATTTAGTAAAACTTGCCTGTGCAAACCACCTGGGCCTGCTGATGTCTGTGACACTGTGGCTTTAGATGGCTTTTTGACATATTTAAGGATCGCTGCTAGGTTTATACTATCTATTGTGAATTTGCTAAATTTAAAGTGTTCATAGTCCTTGCTTTCGTGTTTTTGTCTTGATGTGTATGCACACTGCGTGTGTGCATGTGGAGGCCCTGAAGTCAACGTCAGTGTCGTTCTCAACCGCTCTCCACCTTATCTTCTGAAACCAAGTCTCACAGATTCTGGAGCTCACTCACCAGTGTGGCTAGCGAGCCCCAGGGGTCCTCCAAGCTGGGGCTCCTCAGAGCTGGGAAGACGGCACCATGTAGATGTACCTGGCTTTTGTGCACAGGAGCTGGGGATTGCACCTCAGGTCCTCATGACTGTACATCAAGCACTTTGCCACCTAAGCCAGTGCCCCAGCCCCTTCCCTGCTTTCCTAAGCAGAAGTGGGATCAATATAACGGTGGCACCTGTTAAAACCCTGCACCCTGCAGTGAGACTTCCTAGGTTTGAGTCTCGCCTCTACCACTTCTCAGCAGGTAGTCTTGAGCATTTCAGAGCCTTTGAGTTACTTTCTTCCTCTGAAAACAGGGAAAATAAAAGCCCTTCCACAGAGAGTGACTATAATAAGTAGAAGGAAGAAGACATTTGGCACAGGTGGCAGAAAATGTGGCTGTCGCAAGATTTTTTTTTTCTCCAGACATAGCATGATGCCATCTTGGGCTTTGTGCCTGGTAGTCATGGTAACTAGAGCAGACTGGTAGAGTGCCAGCCAGGTCTATGGAAATGCAGCTATGGGCATTCCCTAAGGGGCTGAAGAAGGAAGACCTGAGATTCCCTCACCTGTGCCCTCCCTCTCCCACCGCAGGTCATCCTGGGAGACCCTAGAGTATGTAGGGAGTGGACGGTTGACTGACAACAGGGCTCCACGATGCACCTGCCTGTAGATGGGGCCAGACTCTGCCGTGACGCAGCTGCTCTGGGGTCACCCACACCCTGTAAGGAAGCCCAACGGGCTCACCAAGTGGGACTAGAAATTGTACTTTAGTGTATTGGTGCCCATCTGGGATGAATACACAGACGTTGGTTGTTTCTCCCCAGGAAAAGTTAAGGCAACAGCAATAAGGAGAAAGCAGCAGAGCGCATCCACTATTGCTATTATTAACGTCAGCACTGCAGGCCTGGAGGGACAAAGCCCAGCATCACCACTGATCTGTTCTGCGCCCAAAGCTAGTTGTTGACCTTCTGAGCTGCAGGAGCCTTTATCTTTAGTGTGGCCGACATCACAGAGTGCTGATGCGTTCCCCACCATTGTGGGGAATAAGACAACGTCCATGAACCTTCCTCTCCTACCTCCTAAACATCAGTATCAGAAAAATAGAAAAAGAAAAAAAAAGTTGGAAGGAGAAGGAAAAATAGAGAATGCCCGAAGCTCCTCTAGGTTTCCATCAGACACAAGCGGTGATCAGAGAGGTGGAGCAGTGCCATCTTGGACATGCTTGGGACAGTATGTTTATGAAAGGCAACTGTGAGAGGCAGGGCCCACGGGGGCTGGACCACAGCTGGACAGATGACAGGGAGCAGTAAGTACTGTAACAGTGCACGGAATTATTTTGGGAGGCACGCATATGAGGACCACAGGAAAGGCAGCCCCCTCTTCCATCCCTGCCCCAACCCGAAAGGGCACAGAGACAGTAAACTTACGATTACAATGAGGAAATCGAGCCAGCACCAGGCACTGGTGAAATACCTTCGAAATCCAAAGGCCACCCACTTTAGAATCATCTCCAGGATGAAGATAAATGTGAAGATATTGTCAGTACACCTTAGCAACCGCTCAATTTGGGGCCGTTTGGAGATGTTGACATCTTCAAATATCTAAAAGAACAAAGCATAGCCGTAAGCCAGGTAGGATATGTGCAGAGCACCTTACTGACTTTGAATTTTTTTTATATTTTATGTGAATAAAAACTAGTTGGTATCTTGGTGATGAAGTTTTGCTACGAAAAGATTAAGGCAGATCTTTTCCAATAAAATGTATTTCTTGGTTAAATAAATATGGAAAATTCCATGTCCATATTTCTCTTATCCCAGTGATCTCATGGCCTCTCCTCATTGGCCCCCTATGATGGCTAATGTGGTCAAGTTAACAGTCTAGAATCACTAGGTAACACAGCTCTGGGCATGTCTGAGAGAGAGTGATGGGGATGTCCTTTTGTGTATATGTTTCTCTTATTGGTTGATGAATAAAACACTGGCCAATGAGGCAGGAAGATAGGCGGGACGAGGAGACAAGGAGAATTCTGGGAAAGGTAGGCAGAGGAAGCCCGCCAAAGACAGTCACTATGTAGGGACTGGGAAGAAAGGATGTGCCAGGCATTTTCCGGTAAGATAAAACCACGTGGAAATACACAGATTAATAGAAATAGGTTAATAACTAAGACAGAGTTAGCCAATAAGACGCCCTAGCCATCAGCCAACAGTTTAATAATTAATATAGCGTCTGTGTGTTTATTTAGGGACCTGGCAGGACAAGAAAAATCCAGCAACGAGAGAGTTTGTAGGCTGCGTTAACAGAAGTGGGAAGAACCCTAACTATGGGTGGTTCCAGCCCATGCTAGGATCCTGAACCAAATAAAAAAGGAAGAGCAAACTGAGGACCCCAGTCATCTCTCTCTCTGCTTCCTGACCACGGCTGCAGTATGACCAACTGCCTCATGTTCCAGCTGCCAGGACAGACTGTACCCTCACAGTGTGAGCCAAAATAACCCCTCTCTCTCTGTGGTGGTGATTTTAATTGTCAGCACAGTCTTGTTGTTAATTTTAATTGACAAAGTCTTCAATCACCTGGGAGAGAATCCATGGCGGATTGTATAGATCAGGTTGACCGGTGGATGTGTCTGTGCCTGTAACCAATAGTCTTGATTATAATTAGTGTGGGAAGAGCCAGCCCACTGTGGGCGGCACCATTTCCTGGGCAGGAAAGAGACCCTGTATTGTATATGTATAGCGTGGGTGCTAGGTATGGGTGCATTCATTTCTACGCTCTTGACTGAGGCTGCTGCCTATTGGGATTGTGGACTGTTGGCCTACTAGCCGCTTCAAGTTCCTGCTTTGACTTCTCTGCAATAATGGACTCTAGCCTGTAATTATGAGCAGAGTAAATCCTTTCTCTTTAAAGTTGCTTTTGTCGGGGCATTTTTATCATAGCAGCGGAAGCGAAATTAGAACATCTCCTTAAGTTGTTTCTATTGGGTGTTTTCCACATCAGCGAGAAAGGTAACTAACATGCCTCTGAATATAAGAGTGTCTTCCTACATAATAGATTGCCAAGTTGTTGTCCTCACCGTGCTGGGCTGCACCTTGAACTGTGAGCGAAAATACAGGGTGAAAGTCGCTAGCACAGCTCTTGCCTCGTCTCTATCCTGCTGGTTCCTGCTCAGCCTTGTGAACGTGGCTGAGTTGACATTCAGCAGGAAACTGCCCTGGTCCTACAAGGCTGGGCTGAGCACTGGTCCTGCTCAGCACCCTTCAGCCTCTCCAGCTCTGAGCCCATCACTCACAACGGTGGTCTGTAATCACTGCATCTGTCTTCTCTTCTGGACACCATGCTCCTGGAGGCCAGGGGGTGTCTACATTACCTGTCTGCAGATAACAGCTAAATCCAGACAGCACAGGCTAGCTTTCTCTTCTGGAAGTTGGCTTAAGCAGGTCAGAGACATGCAACTAAATTTCAAAAGGCTCCCTGTCATACCAGGGACAATTTTTAATAAGAGACATTTGTTACTACTGTGCAGTTGTCCAGACCCAACCTTCTCAGAGCCTAACAAGCCCCACACCACCTTGGGAACTTATTGTGATGTAGGCTCTGACTCAGTGGTTTGGGAAGGGCTCAAGACTCGGCTCTTAGAGCTAGCTTCTAATAATGTCAATGGTGTTGGTCCTTAGGCCATAGGCAGTGGTGATGGGTTGGACTTTCCTTATTCTCACTTCTATGCAAGCATGTACAGTGAGATGGGCCAGATCTTTCTCCTGGTGCGCTCAAAGTGGTGTGTTCTGTACTGTTCTGCCCAGCCTACGTCTGCCTCTCTGAAAGCAGATTGGGAGCTAGGACTCTGCCTGCTGGCAGGTCTCTGATCATGTCTTCTCTCCCTGACACTACAGGGCATGTGTCTATGGCTTCTAATAGCACCACTGCCTAACTGCTGCTTGGCACCATTGCATGAAATAATACAAATGCAAACATGCTACCCTTGACACACAAGCAATGGGGAAGTGATCACCAAAGACTGGCAACCAAAGTCCATCAGGGGAGTTCCCAGGATGGTTCTAGAGGAACCCGCATTTTTGTTTGAGGAATAACCTCTACCGTGTGTGAAGTATGGGGGTGACACTGGTGCCTGTCCCCAGTTAGCATGGTCTGTTCTCCTCCTGTCCTTTCCCTTAGGACTACGCATGTACGAAGCACTAGACAGAAGGCATGGGACACAAGAAGGCTCTTCTGCAGAGTCTCTTCTGCTACAAACTGTCTGTGAAATGATCTGTCACTCCAAATCAAGAAGCGTTCTAGTCACTTAGCATGACAAACAGTGAAAGTTTAGTTTCCTGTTTGAGCCATGTTAAGGAGAGATACAAGACAGGAGAAGGAGAACGAACAGGAACCTGAGGAAGAGTGGGGGTTGAGAAAAAGGGAAGAAGGTACATGATAAGGGAAGCTGGGAGTGGCTGGAAGGAGTGAAGAGAGACCACAGAGACACTGGGGACCCTGACTCTGAAGGCAGATAGACTCGGAGTTACTCATCAGCCTCACTGAGATCTACATCACACCTTGACCAGGAAGGATCATGAACAGAATACAGCATCTTCACAAGTGATGGGAAATATCCAAGCAACTGGTTATATCCTGATCCGTTCCCTGTAGCCCCTCCCCTAATATTTTGTCCTTGACAGCAATATCGTGCTCTTCAGGGAAAGTGAGAGGAGGAACTGTCTGAAGTATGTGACACAGTGGAAATGTCTGGGAATCTTCCGGAAGTGGGGAACAGGTGGGCAAGCCAAGTCCAAGGGCTAGACGTTAGAAGGTTCTTTCGGACACTGGCCTGAGTTAATCCTCTCCGACAGGGAAAGCACCTCGGAGTGGGGACTCTGACTATAGACGTGTGAAACCCGGCACACTGAGGAGCTGTCAGTGAAGAGCCCCCCTTGCTGCCCCGCTGCCCACTCTCCTCCCCAAGAGCACCCCTTACCAATGCTCCACTGCTCAGCAGGATGACAAAGATTATAAAGCTCTCAAACCAGCTGTGCTTCACAATTTGGTAGCAGGTTTTCCGAAGATTCCACCACACAACCCAGCGGGGCTTTTTCTTGTCTGTCTTGTGGCATAGAAAATGACAACTGAGGCCTGAAAGGAATCATTTGCAGTGTTAGTGTCTGGAGTGAATTGTGTTACTAACCTCAGCTCATCACTTTATGCCCCTTGCCTTGTGAACTGTAGCTTCCCCCACCAGAAATGATCTCTTTCCAAAGCCTGAAATCTGGGCTCAGCTGTGCTGCCCTACAGGAAGACATGAAGTCACAGTGTGCCAGCTTGCCTGTTTCCACTTGCCCTCTTGTGCCAGCTCTCCAAAGGTGACAGCTGCAGGCTAGCCCATTGGTTCTCACAGAAACAGCTGCAGGCTAGCCCATTGGTTCTCACAGAAACAGCTGCAGGCTAGCCCATTGGTTCTCACAGAAACAGCTGCAGGCTAGCCCATTGGTTCTCACAGAAACAGCTGCAGGCTAGCCCGTTGGTTCTCACAGGAGATGAGCCATGTGCGGCAGAGCCAACTTGGTCACATGATCAAGCTAGATCTGCTGACCCCCCACCCCCTCACTGACACCACTGACATGAACAAAGCCATCTACATTCAGCAGAGACGCCCAGCCCAGGTAAACTGATATGGAGGCCTATTTACCATTGTTTGCCACCAATGATTTGTGGTTGCTAACAATGCCAAAACTGTGGGTAGGGAAGTTGTAACATACAGATAGCACCCAAAAGGTTTCAAGAAACTTGAGGTGAGGGTTCCAAGGCTTTGTGGACTCAAGCCACACATGGGAGAACTTCATCAATTGTAAAGAGGTTTAGAGGCAGCCTTTGCTGTCAACAAAGGCACACTTTTATCATGGACCACATTGCCCTGCAAACCTTACTCCCCTTCCTCTCCATCCATTCTGACAGCAGATGTCCCAAGGGCTCTACAAAGTGACTGATCTGTTGGTCCAACTAGTTCTCCAGGTGGGCTTCCAGATGGTTACTCTTTTGGGCCATGTGAATGGAGCACACCCAAGCCAAGAGTTTCTTGAAATCCCCTCTACCAGAATCTAATAATGTAATAATATGAGTGATAGAAACGGACATTCATCCAAACCACAAAGCTACAGAGAACATAAAGGCTCCTTGAGCTGTGTGCAAAACTATGGCATATGCCTTTGGGCAAGCATCTATCTGTATGTAAAACTATGGCCACTTACCTTTGGGCAAGCATCTATCTGGTTGCTTTTTGGGGGTATCCACATTGTGCGAATTTCTGCAGATATTCAGGTCAACTGTACTGCACTCTGAGAGCACACTTGCAGCATCCGAGTTCTGCATGTCAGAACAGGGCAAGAGGAAGGCAGTCACCAAGACGACCAGGCTAGAACCAACTAGGCAAAGGCTTCCAGACACAAGGGTGTTAGTGACATGCTGTTCCTGCTGGGACTTTTTATTAAGTTCTTTATTGGCCTCACTTCAGGAGAGAAGTCTCCATGGCTAATAAGCAGCCAGGTACATGTGTACACAGTAGCTCAACACTTCCCCCCCCTACAAATCATAACCCTAATAGACCGCCAATTAGAGGAGTAGATAATAAGAACACTACTCTACTTAGACTAATCTTCAGCTATCCCGACCATAGAAGAATAGGTTAGGTCAGGCTGGATTTAACTACCCTGTAGGAGACATTCTAGCAATGCCTAGAGACAAGGGTTTTATTTTAATAAAGGAGAGAGAGAGAGAGAGAGAGAGAGAGAGAGAGAGAGAGAGAGAGAGAGAGAGAGGGAGTTCAGGCCAGACAGAGTACCATCTTGGGAGTTACTCCTCAGAATCTAGGCATCTTGGTTTGTTTGTTTGTTTGTTTTGTTTTTTGAGATAGGGTGTCTCATTGGTCTGGAGCTAACAATCTGACTGGCTAGTGAGCCCCAGGGATCTTCCTACTCTGCCTCCACACTACTGGGGATTGCAAGCATCTGCCACCATGCCTGGATTCTTGTGTGGTCCCTGGAGATCAAACTCAGGTCCCTGTGCTTACAAGACAAGCAATCTTCCAACTGGTCCATCTCCCTAGAGCTAAAGACATTTTTAATTGTCACAACTAGTGAGATACTCCTGATTCTAGTGAATGGATGCCAAGGATTATGGGCAGTCACCCTAAAATTCACAGGAAAGCCATCAGTTGTCTTGCCCCAAATGTCAAGGTAGCAAAACTGACAGACACTAACTTGATGGTGACGTCCTTCTGCATATCTGTTTCTCTTATTGCTTGATGAATTAAACACTGTTTGGCCAATAGAGTCAGGAAGATAGGTGGAACTAGGAGATGAGGAGGATTCTGGGAAAGGTAGGCAGAGAGAGACCACAGGAGATGCCATGTAGCTACGGGGAAGACAGGATACACCGGCGTTCTCTGGTAAGATAAGGCCATGTAGAAATACATGGATTAATAGTTATGGGTTAATAACTAAGAGAGATCTAGCCAGTAAGAAGCCCTAGCCATCGGCCAAAAGTTTATAATTAATATAGCATCCGTGTGTTTATTTGTGGCTGAGAAGAGCGGCAGGATCTGGTGGGACAATAAACTCCAGCAACACTAACTTACACCTTTGTTTGAGAGTCAGCGTTGGCAATCATGACTTCATTTATTCTGATACTGTCCCACAAGGCTATTCTGGAGAACTGTGGGGGGGAGTCACATGCTCCTCCCAATCGTACCCTGGGAATATTACCTTTTGAACACTCTGTATGGTTAAATGGGGATCTTCTTCAGCGAACACCTCAGTTTCCACATCTTGGTCATCTGGGCTGGTGGGCTTCGTGGTCTCCAGAGGGACATCATAGGTCTGACACACAGAAGCCCAGAGTGGAGTTAATATCTCTCTGGACAATTCACTGGACATGAAGAGAGTTCGATTTCTACTACTAAAAAACTCAACATGGAAGTTTACTGGAGAAACTACTGAACAAAACAGAAACAAAAATGTATTGTAAAGTGACTTAATCAAAACAGTATGTTTCCAGTCCAAGACCCATCCTATCCAATTAACTTGGAGGTAAAATATCCCGTGGTTGGAAGGGAAGGAGAAATAGAGACGTGTGTGTGTGTGCGTGTGTGTGTGTGTGTGTGTGTGTGTGTGTGTGTGTGTGTGTGTGTGTGTGTGTACATGCCTGATGTCTTTCTGAATCATTCCATCACCCTATTTTTGAGAGAGTCACTTACTGAACCCAGAGCTCACCAGTTGGCTAGACTGGCTGGGCTACAAGAAGCAGGGGTTCCCTGTCCTCATATCCCCGGTGCTCAAAGCACTTACCGCCATACATACCTCTTTTCGTTTGCTCGTTTTACTGTGTGCCGGGGATCTGAACTCAGGTCCAAATGCTTTACCTGCTGAGCCACCTCCCCACCCACAATATGGAGATTTAATATATTTTAAAATGTGTCCATTCAACTCAATAGCTGACTAATAAATCACTGAATAAACCGTACTGGTATGTGTTGCCACAATTTACTAAAAAGTAAAATTCACAATTACCTGATAGACCATGAAGAATAATTGAATATGGAGGGTCTCCTAGCAATTTAGGGTGGTGTCATTGTGACAAAAATCTAGAATCACCTGGGATCTGAGCCTCTGAGCACGCCTGTGGAAGGGTTATCTTGATTGTGTTGAGATGAGAAGACGGTCCACTGTGGGTGGCACCATTCCCTAACTGGGATCCTGAACTGTGTAATGGAGAAGGAAGCCGAGCAGTGGCATGGATCACTCTCTGCCTCAAGGCTGCAGATGTGATGTAAGCAGCTACCTCAAGCTCCTGCTGCTTTCATGGCGACACCATGGTGAACTGTACCTTGAACTGCATGTCAGAACAAACCTTCTGCCTTAGACCAGAGCAACAGAGAAGAAAGCTAAGACATGTAGGAAACAAAAAACCATAAAGGAAAATACAAAAAGAGCACTTCACAAAACGGAAGGCTTGGTGTGGTGATCTGCAAGGACATCTAGAAACGGCGTGTGACAGCTAATCCTGGTTATCAACTTGACTGCTTTGGAATCAGCTGAAACCCAAGCTGCTGGTTAGTTGATCTGTGAGGGTTTTCTGACATTCCCTATGAAGCTGCAAACACAGCACTCATTTGAAAGCCCTCCTGGGATTAGCCTGATGTGTCAAAGATCATACACATTTTATAATGGAATAGCCCTGAACCATACCTAGAACACAATGGGTAACAAGTGCCCCGTGGTGACTGTATGTTCCAGCCACTTCCATACCTGAACTTTGGCACCCGCTTGTGAGACAGATGGGACTCTGAGTTCACCATAGCCTTCCATGTCATCCTCTTCCTCTGCGAGTGGGGCCAAGCGAGCCCCCTCGTGTCCAGCGGTCCAAGTCCTTAGTGCATCGAACTCCCCCCAGGGCTTTGTATCAAGGGGAATAATGTCTTTGTCCTCGCTGTCAAAACTTCCTGTGATCTCTTTTGGCTTTGGTGAGTTTTGCCTCCTGCATTTCTTGCAACAAAAATCCCGAAGGGCACGCACCAAGAAGGAAAAGGCCCGGTAGAAGCGATCCAGAGCCAGCTGCACTTTGGTTTTCCGGGTCTCTCCTTCGGGGCTCCCATCCCTCTCCTCGTTGCTGAAGGAATTGAGCAGCAAGGCAATGAAGAGGTTAAGCACCTGGGGTGGATAATAAGGGAAATTTAGCAAAGGAAGAGGCACTTGGAGTTCCTTGAACAACCTTTCCCCCAAGGCTCAAATTCTAATCTAAGGAGACTTCTTGCACCCTCCCAGCAAAGCTCTCCCACATAAGTGAGTGACAGGATGAAGACCAAGAGAGAACGGGGACAAGATGCACAGCAACTGACAGGGTGCAAACATGGGAAAGGGTGCGTCCGGAAACTATTGAACTGAGAGAATCCAGACATGGGAAGACAAACACCACAGGCTCTCTCCCGCACGCAGGTCCCACTTTTAAGGTTTTGTGGATGAGTGTGTATGCGTGTGAGTGTGTGTGTGGTTATCAGTCATGAAATAGAAAGTAAACTACAAGATGAGGAAAAGAGTTGTTTTTGTTTTTTGTTTTAAAGATGGAGTTAATAATAGAATACATGTGACATGGAAGCAGAAAGGGTCTTACTGGGGGTGGAACAGGAAGGGGGAGGTGGAGGGCCCGAGAAGTGGTCAACGAGCGAATCTTGTGGGTTAGGAAGCTGGCTCGGCAGTTAGAGTTCAAATCCCCAAAACCCACATAAATGCTGGGTGGGCTCGAAAGCCCTCCTGTGATTCGAGCCTCAGAGACAGCTGGGAAAACTCTAAGCGAGCTGGCCAGGCAGAACAACCACATCTGTGAGCTCTGGGTTTGGCTGAAAAGTCCTGCCTCAAAGAAAAAGATGGAAGAGTGATCCAGGATGATTTCTGACATCACCTCAGGGCCTCCCTCCAACACACACACACACACATGCCTGGACATACATGTGTGCCCACATATACAAGCGCCCACACACATATGAACATGCATACACACTCACGACACACACATACACATGAAAATAAGAAAAAAAAAAAAACAAGTTATGCCCGCCGCGTGTTGGTGCTTTTAATCCCAGCACTCGGGAGGCAGAGGCAGGCGGATCTCTGTGAGTCTGAGGCCAGGCTGGTCTACAAGAGCAAGTGCCAGGATAGGCTCCAAAGCTACACAGTGAAACCCTGTCTTGAAAAAACAAACAAACAAACAAACAAACAAATTATGTATGTAAATGTCACAATGCCTTTCTCTGGCCTGGTGTTCACCAGGTAGGCTAGGCTGGCTAGCCAGCAAGTCTCAAGGGATCGCCTCTCTGCATATTCCCATAGCACCGACACAGCAGCCACCACAAGGCTCCTCATTTACATTCATTCTGGGATGGAATTTAGGCCCTTGGGCCTGTCCATCAAGCATTTTCCCACGTGAGTGAGTGTTTTTAAGAATGAAAAGTCAGGCCAGGCGTTGGTGGTGCACGCCTTTAATCCCAGCACTCGGGAGGCAGAGGCAGGCGGATCTCTGCGAGTTCGACGCCAGCCTGGTCTCCAGAGCGAGTGCCAGGATAAGCTCCAAAGCTACACAGAGAAACCCTGTCTCGAAAAACCAACATAAATAAATAAATAAATAAAAAGAATGAAAAGTCATTCCCATGTTTCCCCGGTAGACACCTCTTTATATCTTATCCACCGAATCAAGTCCCACAGTCCAGTGGTTCTCACCCTGTGGGTCATGACCCCTGTGGGGAGTCACATATCAGACATCCTGCATACCAGATGTTTACATTATGATTCATAACAATAGCAAAATTACAGTAATGAAGTAGCAACGAAATAATTTTATGGTTGGGGATCAGCACAACATGAGGAACTGTATCAAAGTGTCTTAGCATTGTGAAGGTTGAGAACCTCTGGCTTAGTCAATCACTGACCAAGAGAACAGGATTTCTTACAACAAGCATCAGGGGTATACCCGAACGGGCATGGCCAGTAAACCACATGACAACACATGTCCCATGTGTTAAAGAGGTTTTGTCTCGTGTCTATACCTTTCTTGGGTCAAATTAATGATATTTTTTTCAGCTTTTATGTGTAAGAGTGTCTTGCTTGCACGTGTCTGTTCGCCAGCTGTTTGCTGAATGCCCGAGGGGTCCAGAAGAGGACATTAGGTTCCCTGGAACTGAGTTACAGATGACTGTGAGCTGCCATGTGGGTGCTGGGGATTGAACCCTGGGTCCTCTGGAGGAGCGGCCAGTGCTCGTAACCACTAAGCCATGCACAGCTGGGCAGCCGCACAGATGAACTCACAGCGGTTAGGACAGTGTTCACGAACCTGTGCAAGCCCGAGCTGGACCAAATCCCAGCCTGGAAAGGGTGGAGGGGGAGGTGGAGTAGACATTTGTAATTGATAGCTGCAGCAGAGGGTCAGCTCTCTTTAAAAGCGTCACTCCTGGTAAGTTAACCACACTCCAGGGGAAGGCCACGCAGCCAAGAATATGAATGAGCAGGAAAAACTTGACTTGATGGGTTAAAAGAAAAAAACAAAACTGTACTGAGGTGGGAGGGAGAGAAGGTGGAAATGATCAAAGCAGAGCAAGTGGAACGGAGCCTGAGCCACTCACCACAAGTTTCCCTATCACCATGATCAACAGGAAGACGACGACACACAGCAGAGATCCGCCCATCCCCTCCATGCATTCCCACATGTTCTCGATCCACTCCCCGCACAGGATGCGGAAGACCACCAGGAAGGAGTGGTAGAAGTCTCCCATGTGCCAGCGCCGCATGCACTGCGGCTTCGTAGTACACATGGTCTTGTTGAACTTTTTGCCAAAAAGCTGCATGCCAACAACGGAAAAAATGAAGACCACAATGGCCAGCACCACAGTCAGGTTTCCAAGCGCACCCACGGAGTGGCCGATGATCTTAATGAGCGTGTTTAGAGTGGGCCAGGATTTGGCTAACTTGAAGACTCTCAGCTGTGAAAACAAATAACAAACAAACAAAAAAAAAAGAAAGTTATGCTCACCCATCCAGGGAGCCCATCATCCAGACTATGCCCACACATCCACGGAGCCCATTATCTAAAAGCAAGTGACAGTCCTCAACCATGGCAATTAGGACTTTCAAAACTGGCCACATCCACCTGGTGCATAGTTACCGGCTTCCTATATAAAATGCTAATTTTCATTTAAAGCTCTTTTTCCATGTTTTTATTTTATTTGTATAGGTGTTTTGCCTGTATGTGTGCAGTATTGGAAGAGGCCAGAAGACGGATTCAGGTGCCTAGGACTGACATTACAGACAGCTGTGAGACGGCTATGGGTGCTGGTAATTGAACCTGGGTCCTCTGGAAGAGCAGCCCGTGCTCCTAACCACTAGGCCATCTCTACAGATCCTATTTAAATCTTTTTTAATGTATGTACTGCTGAAGCGAGCACATATTTAAATCTTTTTAAAAATTATGTTTATTTATTTATTTGTGGAGAGAAGGACACACATAGCTGTCCTAGTTGGCTTCAGCTGTTATCTGAGGGAGTCCCGACTAAAGGGCTGTCCAGGTCAGATCAGAGCAATCCTCTTTGGGCAGCACCACCCCTACACAGGTGGGTCTGTGCAGTGTAAGAAAACTAGATTAGCATGGGTCTGCGAGCTAGACAGCCAGTAAGTAGCATCCCTCCATGGTTTCTGCTCTGATTGCTTCGCTGCAAGTGACTTGCTGCGCTGGTTTCCCTCAAAGACAAACTAAGACCTGGAAGTGTAAGCCATATAAACCTTTTCCTCACAAAAGTGACTTTGGGCCTGAGTGTTGAATCACAGTAGCAGAATGAGACCAGAATGGTGGTCAAAAGGACAGCTCACAGGAGTCAGTTCCCCTTCTACCATGTGGGGCCCAAGGATCAAACTCAGGTCATTGCACTTGGCAGCAAGCACTTTTCCCTACCTGAGCATCTTACCAGCCCTACATTTCATTTTAAAATTGCAAATACCTTGTTCTGGGGCTGGAAATATTGTTCAGAAGTCAAGAACACTTGATGCTCTTTCAGAGAACAATCCCCAGGTCCCAGCACCCTCACTGGGCAGCTGGCATCCAGATCTGACGTTGTCTTCTGACCTTGCCAGGCCCCTGCACACACGTGGCATACATTCAGACACACACACACACACACACACACACACACAAAACTTTTTGAAATTGTTTTAAGGAAATCAACCTTAACTGCTGGGTATGGCGGCACACACCTATAATCCCTGGCCTTGGGAGGAATGGGAATTTAAGGCCAGCCTGGGCTACCCAGGGAGGTGGATATGTGCAAATTTTGTCCTGGAATTAAGGTGAATTAGTCCAAGGTAGTTGTTACTGAAATAAGAGAGGAGCCAGTGTCAGGTGTGGTGGCCCATACTTTAGCCTCAGTGCTTGGGAGACAAAGGCAAGTGGATCCGCAGGAATTCACAGCCAGCCTGGTCTACAAAGTGAGTGCCAGGACAGCCAGCCAGGACTATATAGGGAGACCCTGCCTCAAAAAGACCAAGGGTGGGGGTGGGTGGGGGTGGAGGAGGTGTTATGAGGAAAAGTGGGGAAATGGGAGAGGAGAGGGGAGGGGAAGAGAGGCCAGGGGAGGAGATGAGGGGGAGCAGGGGAAGAGAGAGAGAGGAGGAGGGGGGAGGGGAGGAGAAGGGAGGGCAGAGGAGGGTAGAGGAGGGAAGGGAAGGGAACAGACAGGTGAAATGGCTCAGTGGATAAAGGCACTTCCTGCCTGTCTTAGGACCTAGCTGTGAGCCCCAGGATCCGCAGGGTAGCAGAGCCTCATCAACTCCAGCAAGCTGTCCTTGATTCTGCCGGTGTACCACGGCGTGCACACACCCACACACGTGCGCAGTAAAAATAAGTTTATGATGGAAAAACAAAACAGAAGAAAGCGCCTTACCACTCTGAAGGAAGCCAAGAAGGAGCGATTTGAGCGACTGCTCTTATCCGACAGGTTGTTGTAAAGCACGTCCGCAAGACTCAGGAGGGCCACAATGCTGTCGAAGATGTTCCAGCCGTGGCGGAAGTAGTGGTAAGGGTCCAGCGCGATGATCTTTAGACACATTTCGGCTACGAAAATCCCAGTGAAAACCTGCAATGGGACAAAGGAGGCCTGGAAACTAGCTTGCTTTGGAGACTCCTGCTTAAGGGTGGCCTGGGGGAACCAAAGCAGTTACAAAAAGAAATCACTAAATCAGCACAGTTGTTGAGGCCAACCTAAGGTCCAGGCACCAGGCACACAGCCACAGCACCTCACTACACTGCCATGGCTGCAGCCCACCAGGAGGCCATAGAAGCAGGGCCTTTGACTGCTGAGGCATGGCCACACCCATATTCTGCCTCCAGCAACATTCCTGCCTTAAACTGTTTTTATTAATTTCTTACGTTATCACACAAAGCAATGGGTTTGATGATGACATTCTGACACATGCTTGCCGTAATCGTCCCCTCCCCCTCATTCCTCCTGCTCTTGCTTGCTAGCCCCCACCCCAGGAAAATACATAAAACTGGGGAGTTCCCTTATTTTAAAATTTTAAAAGTATGTGTTGCTTTTTCAGTTAGAAAAAAAAAGAAACTTTACAAGGGGAAGATTGGATATTCTGGTAAGATTTTTCAATCCATGAATCCATTAGCTAATTAGAGTGAAGCAGCCACTGACTAATTGTGTGTGGTATCTGATACATGAGAGTCTCCTTTCCCCTTGAGGAAGAAAAGATGCCTCCCACAGGAGCCACGGATGAAAGTGAGCAGTTGTTCAAAGTTCAGCTTCCTCCGTGTCTTCAGTTTTCCATTTTTACTGAGACTCAATCTGTTCAGTAAGAACCAGTGACATAATCAGGAAGCAAGCCCCCACCCCACTCTCCCCGCAAACAATCAATACTCTCTCTCAGGAACATGCCCCCCTCCCACCCCGCTCCATACTGCCAGGCCTGGTTCGTCTTTCCTGAGAATTTACCAAAGCTCCACTGTTTCACGACAATGGTGTCCACAGGAGCACAGGGGCATGGAGGCCATAATTGTGGGTCTCTAGAGATGGTTGATATTCATTTTTCTTGGGGGCAGGGGATGTAGTGGAGACAGAGTCTCACGTAGCCCAGGCTAGCTCTGAATTTGCTATGTGACTGAAGATGGCCTTGAAAGTATGATCCCACTGCCTTCACTTTCTGAGTGCTGGGATCACAGACAGGCATCACCTCGCCTAATTTACATGGTACTGGGATGGAGCCCAGGGCTTCACGAAGGCTCTGCCAGCTGAGCTACATCTCAGCCTGGTTAGCATCTTCTGGGTTTTCTCACAGCACTCACAGTGTTACTATTGGGGTTGTCTACTCCGGCTTGAACATGACTAAAGAGACATTAATGTGCTAGAAGGTTAAACTGAGACCCATGGAAAACCATAGAGGCCACCTGCGCAAAAACTCTGACCCAGAGTCACCTTTCGCCTTTATTCCAGGTGCAGAACCCAGGCTGCAGTTTAGGTTGTTACCGAAAATGCCTGCATTTCAACAGAGTTACGGTTCAAAATTCCTTATGCCTTGCAAGAGCCCCTGATTACCCAGTTTCCTATTTTCAGTAGATTTATAAAAGCGTCATCCATGTTGTGGTGCTCCATGGCCAGGAAGACGGTGTTGATTATGATACAGATGGTGACGGCCAGCTCAGTAAAGGGGTCTGTCATCACGGTCCGAAGGGCCTTCTTCAGACACAGCCACTGGGGGCTGCAGTCCCACACCAGGTACTTGGATGCCAAGTTTTTCCCACATGGGAGGCAAGGCTCCTGGGATTTTTCTTGTTCTGGAAGAGAATTGGAAGGATGGGTAAGGCGTTTGCTCCCACCCAGCCTGGCCACTCTCTGCCGGCGTGTGCCCCCTCCTCTGTCTTCCCCAGGGTGTTTGTCACGTGGCCTGTCATCAGGGCACTTGAGTAGAAAAGGTTTTTCTGCAGAACACACAGCACAGAGGAGACGATCTCTGCACACAGCTAGCATGCTCAAAGCCAAGTGAGTCAGAAACAGATGCAGAGGCCTACTCAGATTCGCTACGAACTCGCCCTCCAGAGAGACAAGGTAGCATAGGTACAGGTTTCTTAAGAGAGGACGTGGTGGTGGCTGTAACTGCACAAGGGGTGGCCAGAGCTTAGGAGAAGAAAAGGTGGGTTAAGCGTAGGGACAATTGAAGGTACGACTGTTAATGTCCATTGTCAGTTTGGCAGGATCTAGAAATACCAAGGGGATGAACCTCTGAGCATGTCTGAGTGGAAATTCCCTGCATTAATGGAGGTGGGAAGACCTATCTTAGATGAGGAAGGCTCCATTTCATGGTCGGAGGCTTGGATTAAACAAAAACAAAACAAAAACAAAACAAAAACAAAAAAAATCAAGAACACTGGCAATTCTCTCTCTCCCTCCCTCTCTCTCTTTCTCCCTCCCTCCCCTCTCTCTCTCCCTCCCTCCCTCCCCTCTCTCTCTCCCTCCCTCCCATATCTACAATAAAAACTTTCCTTTAACCACAGAACAGTTATGTCATCAGTTCACACACCCCTACCCCATCACCATGGAGGGCTTCAAACTGTGGTCCCAAATAAACCTTCCTCCCTTTCTTCCTTGGGTGGCCTTTGTTAGCTTATTTTGTTGCCAAAATGAAAAAAAAAAAAAAAGCAAAAATTCAGGTATTCATCAGTTACTTAAGCTCAGGCCCTTAGGCCCTGCACCCCTGATCTGCTGGGATCGTTTCAGGGACTCATAAAGGCCAAATAAAGTTACATCATAACTCAGAAATGACCAAGGGTCCAAACCCTCCCAGTCTTTCATGGACTCCAGCATCTATCCTTTACCTGTGGCTCCACTGCTGGCTGTTAATCACAGGGTCTCTTTGGCCCCCACCAGACTCATGGCTCTAACTTTGAGAACAATTACAATTACCACCTCTCTTTTCTTTTCTTTTCTTTTCTTTTCTCTTCTCTTCTCTTCTTTTTCTTTCTTTCTTTCTTTCTTTTTTTTTTCCTGACCGTTGTCATTGAGATCTGAGGCTGCTCAGCCTGCTGTGAGGCGTCTATGCCATCTATCCCACTCGGGGCCCCACCCAGGGACCCACTCGGGCGAGCCACTTTGCTGCATGCTCCTGAACACTGGGAGTCTCTCTTTGCCGTATGGCACAGTGGGTAGGTTCCCAAGAAACCTCTTGGGAGGGGGGAGGAGGCTTCTGGAGGGACGTAAAGAACTCACAAAGGCCCAGGCTTTGCCTCCAGTGGGGAGCTTACCCTGCATGGTGATGGTCAGGATGCTGACGGCACTCAGCGCCCTCTGCCTGTGGAAGTGATCCATGTGCTCGTCAAAGAGGTCCACCGGCAAGTTCTGGGACAGTCGTTTGGTTTGCTCAAGCAGTTGAGGCTGTAAGAGAAAGAGTAGTGAGCCTTCTTCTCAAGGCAGGATCTGACACTCCCAAAATTTCATAACGATGCCAAATGAAGATGCTGAGCGTTTGTACGGAGCGGCTCACTGTGTCTTCACAGCACGTTAGATGCGCAGTTTTCTTTGTCCATGTGTAACAAGCTAGAGAAGGGAAATTGAGCCGGGCGGGCGTTGGTGGTTCACGCCTTTGATCCCAGCACTAGGGAGGCAGAGGCAGGCGGATCTCTGTGAGTTTGAAGCCAGCCTGGTCTACAGAGTGAGTTCCAAGACAGGTTCCAAAGCAATACAGGGAAACTCTTGTCTCGGAACCGCCCCCTCCCCCCCAAAAAAAGAAAGAAAGAAAAGGGATTTGGTCATTCGCTGTCCTTATACTCCTGCATTTCTGGAGTCTGGCCTTACATTTTATGCTTCAGTCACTTCCAACAAAGAGAAAACAAAATACTTTTTACCTTAATGATAAGAATGATTTTTAAGGATTAATAAGATACTAGCATATTTTTAAATAATTTGGGGGTGGTTCGAGACAGGGTTTCTCTGTGGCTTTGGAGGCTGTCCTGGAACTAGCTCTTGTAGACCAGGCTGGTCTTGAACTCACAGAGATTCACTTGCCTGTGCCTCCCGAGTGCTGGGATTAAAGGCGTGCGCCACCACCACCCACCCAGCTTTAAATAATTTTTGCTATCAAGCATCAACCATATCTTAACTCTGTATCACAAGGTCCACTCAGTATCTTTGCTGGGATGTCCCATTGGTCCTCAGTGCTTATATGTCTATCTTTGCCACCCTTAAAGTATGTCCTTTCTTGTCCCAACAAGTCATCAACTCAATAAGCCACAAGCATGGAGCCCACCCCTGTTCAACTCATTCACCAGGCATCACCTTCTGCAGGTCAGCTCTCTTCATCCTTGATTTCAGCTATTTCCTATGAATTCAAACCCTCCCTCCCAGAAGAAGGAGGGAGGCTCCTCAGACTCAGCAAGCTAAGGAAACCCCCAAGATTCAAGAGCTTTGGAAAATTCAAAGATCCACCAGGCCAAGTCATGAGGTTTTAAAATGTCTCATGTAGTTTGCAAGTGCGTGTGTCACAGCACACGAGAGAGGTCAGAGGACAGCTTGAGGAGATTGGTTCTCTCTTTCTATCCCACCATAGGGGTCTGGAGGGTTAAATTTGGGTCATGGGGCTTAGGAGCCATCTTCCTGACCTGATCTGTTTCGGTGAGATTGTAAAAGTCAAAGACAGTTGCTGGAAAAAGTGGAGTCTGTCTGACTGGACACAGTTGTGCATAGATTTCTGGGGATAGAACTTTTGTGAGTTATCACCCACGCTGAGGAGGGCTTTTCAATGATACAGTTATCTTTTAGCCCCCCACTGTGCCTATAAGAAACCCCAATAAAATCATTGGCTCACCAAGCTAGGCTTGGGTGCAATTCTTTCTTGGGTCTTGTCACTGATGCCCTACCCGGGTGAGATGTTTTATTCTCCCCAGGAAAAGTTACACACTGCTCTAGCCCTCATGTAAGCTGCTGCCATCTCTTGCTTGGTGTTACTGTGGCAACGTCTTAATTGGTTTCCTCTAGGCTCTTCCAATCCCCTCTCTTCAATGTGTTTAGCTTGTTGAAAAAGAAATTTCAGCTTCAGACCATGAGCTTTAAATCATTATAACTAGGCTCAAGCAAGCATACCTTCATTAATCAAAATAGCAGCCATTACAATCAACGTGTTTTTGCCAACAAGAACTAAGTTTGTTTATCCAAATAGCATACAAATCCCCACTTTGGGGTTCCATGGACTCTCAGAAAGCCTCTCTGCATCCTGCTGGCTGTGGAAGCTTGTTCCCTGCAAAAAGTTGCCAAGATGCTTAAGACACGACGGAAGGTTAGTGAGATCAGGTGAATGTGGCAGATGAGACAAAACTTTGATGCCCTATTCCTTTCGTTTGTAAAGGGTTGGTTGTCATGTGTGTTCAGGCATTGTGGAAAAGAACTAACTGGCCCCTTGTTGGCCCATGCCAGCTACAGGTGGTGCAGTTTTGAGGGCACATTCTCTAATGAGTACATGCCTCACATGTAATGATGGCACTTCAGGAAACCAGACTGGTGGCAGACTGCCAAAGAGTGCCTAGGACCTTTGTCTGGAGCAGGCGTGGCTGTTGAAAGTGATCTGTCATAACCGGGCATCACTGGTTGTTGTATGAGATCTGCTGGTCCTCAGATGTCACAATCCAGTAGAGAAAGGGTCTGTTGTTGTGTAACATGAGTTCAAAACATGGTTTTTAGATTTTGGTCAGCTCTTGAGGCAACTGCTGTTGAGTTTTCTCAGCTCTCCAATGTGCTTCAAATGTCAAATGGCTTTAAATGATCCATGTTGAGCCCATTGACAACTTCTCCTCAAGTTGGAAGAAGATGGGACAATCAGTCACTGTCAACTCCAACAGCTGGCCTCTAGCCCTTCATCTTCAAGCCTCTTGTCTCCTTTGCAGGACTTATTGGGCCACCACACTACACTGTATATTCACTAGGAGTTGCTGGGCCAGTCCCTGACGTCATGAGTCGGCTCTGCTGCCTTGTGGCCTGATGGGGAATGTACTGTGTATGTTTATCTTATTGATTGTTAAATAAAATACTGTTTGGCCAATGAGATAGCAAGTTAGACCAGTCTAGGAGTCAAAGAGGATTCTGGGAAATGTAGTAGAGAAGTGGTGATCCAGGTAGGAAGTGACATAGCAAGGAGACTCATATTTAAGTAAGGAGAAACAGGAAGTGGCACTTTTTCCCGTTCGCCTCCTCCAGCGGCAGGATGTGAGCCACCCGCAAGGAGGGACGCCAATAAGGCATCCGACAAGATAAGTCTTATAACATATATAGATTTATGATAATTGAGACAGAGCTAGCAGATGAGAAATCCTAGTCATTGGCCAAGCAGCTTTGAACCTAATACAAGTTTCTGTGTATTCATTTGGGCCTAACTCAAGCAGGTGGCTGGTGTAAAGCTCACAAGTGGCAGTGGGGCTCAGGCGGCTTTGGGCAGAAAGATTTATCGTAACAGTGGTCCATTTTTTAAATCAAGTAAGAAAAACCACTAGAGTTTTCATTTTATCTCACTTTGTTTCCAAAGTACAAGGCAGGGATTCTCAGCCTGTGGGTGGCAACCCCTTTGAGAGTTGAGTGACCCTTTCACAGAGGTCGCCTAAGACCATTGGAAAAATACAGATATTTATATTACAACTGATAACAGTAGTAAAATCACAGTTCCAAAGTGTCAACAAAAACAATTTTATGGCCAGGTGTTGGTGGCACACGCCTTTAATCCCAGCACTCGGGAGGCAGAGGCAGGCGGATCTCTGTGAGTTTGGGGCCAGCCTGGTCTCCAGAGCGAGCGCCAGGATGGGTTCCAAAGATACACAGAGAAACCCTGTCTCAAAAAAAAAAAAAAAAAAGAAAAGAAAAAAGAAAACAATTTTATGGATGGAGGTCACCACAACATGAAGAGCTATGTTAAAGGGGTCACAGCATTAGGAATGCTGGAAATCACTTATAGATAAGGTAATAAATCATTAGCAAGAAAACACAAAGCGGGAAATGAGTATTAAAATGATATATAACAAATCTTTGCTTGTTAATATTATATTTCAATAGCATGCAGTGAATTTCAACAATGCAAAATCACGGTCAGTTTTGTATCAACCTACACCCAAGTTTTCAAAAACATCCATCTCCAGCTGGGCCTGGTAGGTCACGCCTTTAATCCCAGGACTCAGCAGACAGATAAATCGGTCTCCGTAAATTTGAGACCAGACTGGTCTACACAGGAAGCTCCAGGACAGCCAAGGCTAATTACTGAGACCTCATCTAAAAAAAAAAAAAACTTCTCCCTGAGTGTATTAGCACACGCCTTTAATCCCAGAACTTGGGAGGCAGAGGCAGAGGCAATCTCTGTGAATTTGAAGTCAGCCTGGTCTACAGAGTGAGTTCCAGAACAGCCAGAGCTACATAGTGAGACTCTGTCTCAAAAACCAAATAAAAACAAAAAACACACATCTCATTCTCTTGCTTAAAACTCTTCACAGATTCCTGGTTGCCCTCAGCATGAAGACTGAATGAATTCCTCAGCTTGGCTTTGAAGACCTTTTGTGACTGCCCCATTTTACCAATCCAGACTCTCACCATTGTCCCCTAGACACACACACACATTCACACACACACACACACACACACACACACACATATACACACACACATACACACACACACACATACACACACACATACATGCACACACACATACACACACACACACACACACACACATACATGCACACACACACATGCACACACACATACATGCACACACACACACATACACACACACATACATGCACACACATACATGCACACACATACATGCATACACACATACATGCATACACACATACATGCATACACACATACATGCACACACATACATGCATACACACATACATGCATACACACATACATGCACACACATACATGCATACACACATACATGCACAGGCATACAAATAATTAAGTGCACACACACACATGTTCACACACACACACACACACACACACACACACACACACACACACGCACGCACATGTTTTTAAATGGGCTGTGTTCTGCTCCTTTGCTTCCAGGCCTTGGCACACATTCCCTGCTCCACTGGTAACGCCTGCTCTTCCTTTTGCCTGGTGAATCCCACTTGGCTCAGACACCGCTCTCCTGGGAATCTTTCCTGATTCCCTTCCAGTTCTCTGCTCTTCCTTCAGCTCCAGTCACTTCTGGGATGGTTCGCACCAAACAGATGCTCTTGGTTCCCTATACATATGCCCTAGGGCCTCACCTCTTCCTCTTGTTACCCAAGCCCCTCTGTCCCATTTCACAGCAAGTCAAACACACAACACTTGTGATCCCCAGTCCCTAGCAACTGTAACCAATGACGGACCAAAATTAATGCATCTATATATAGATACAGAAATAAAATAGAGACAGCTACAGATGGACAGACAGATATGCTCTAACACCATAGCTCCATGGGGTTCAACCTCCCAGGACCCTGGGTGGCAGCAGGCTAACAACGTGCTTCACTGGACTCCTTCCCTCCGCGCATAGCGCACTCTGCTCCCCCTCCCGCGCATAGCGCACTCTGCTCCCCCTCCCGTGCATAGCGCACTCTGCTCCTCTCCGCCAGGGACACTCTACCTACACTCTAAGGCCTTTGGCTTTGCTTCAGAGGGAGTCAAGAGCCACGACACCCTTTCCAAATTGTCTGTGCCAAAGGACACACCCTTAGCCTGTCTGTAACTAATCTAAAGAGTTCCACTTGGGAGACGGAAGACCAGGCTCATTTGTTCAGCTCTTGGTCCTGATCTGGCCACTGCCAGCCTAAATTGAGAACTTTGAGTTTTAATGTCTAAACTGATTTAGGTGATAAAATGGAATGAGGATGATCCGAGGCCCCTCCTCTGGTATAACTCCAGCTCATCTTAACCCTTCTCATCCCAGCCACTCAACTCTCACTACACCAGAGCCTGAACACCAAACATTTCTACTGGGTCTCTGAACCTGTTCTTGTGACTGAGAGGCCAAGTCTTTCTGTTCACGGAACTCCTTTGTCTTATGTCTATGATCGGCCTTTCTTTCTGCCCCACCAAGCCTGGATGCCTTTGCTTGTATTTGCAGTTTTCAGTTAGATGGCCTCTAGGTTGCAAGTACTTATGTCACTGGCAACTTGTTATCTTCATAAGAGAAAATAATACTTGTTTAGTTTCTCAGGTTGTCCGCCTCCATCTGCAGACTCACAAAGTAGTTACGGATGTGTATGTCACTGGGCTCAGTCTCGAATTCAAATGTCTTTTGAGCATAGATAATATTAGAAAGTTGTCACGTGCTTTACCTCACTGTAAATCTTAATTTGCTACAGCATCCCATGTATATAACTTCAACTCTTGTTTAGAAAAATAAGAGGAAACATTAAATAGGTTTGAGAAAAAAGTTCAAGTGGATGTAAATTATAAGATTATGTTTTTAGTTTAAAGGTAAGGGTAAATATTTTAAGTACAGGTAGTTTTGTTTGTTTTTTGTTTGTTGAGACAGGGTTCTTCTTTATAGCTCTGGAACTTTCTCTGTAGGCCAGGCTGGCCTCTAACTCACAGAGATCTGCCTGCCTCTGCCTCCTGAGTGCTGGAATTAAAGGCCTGCGCCACCACTACCAACCTAAGGATAAACTTTTTGATGATGGCTTTTGCCCTAAGAATAAAAAAATGCTAGATGAAGACAAAGCCACAAAAGCCAAAGCCAAGTCATAGATGGTCTGAATAATACAAGGTTTACAGAAAATAAGACTTAAGAATAACATGTGTTTGGTGGTTAAGTTTATAAATCCCTAAGGTTATAGTGGTCTATTCGTACAAACAAAAATTGACTTAAAGATGCATGCCTACCCACTTATGTCTTTGCTAACTTTGTTAATTTTTAGCCATTTGAGGAAACTGAGTCCTATAAAAGACTGTAAAGGAAAAGAACACTATAAAGGGTCGGGAAAATGAAGTCCCCAGTCTCTCTGTGGGCTGTGTCTATGGCTTAAAATTTATTTTGATGCTAAAAGATCTTCAAGTCAAAATTGCAATTTTTAAAACTCAAAATCTCAACAGGGATAAAATTATAAAATTCTAATCTTATAAAAGCTGCTAACTTACTGTAAATTGTCAGACACAGCTACAACATAAAAGCCAATCATCTGTTACCTCATAAGGTCCAGTCAGTTGTGCAACTGCATTTAACCTCACTAACAAAAAATTACAATAATCTTAATGTAAAATGTTTTCCTCATTAACTTTGTTTCTTAAACTTCCTTCCAAAGTCGTACAGTTACGACCTCCTGACGCATGTCCTGGATCTGTGGCATCAGCTACGTTTTGTCGTGGCCCCTGATTGAACCCTCCTCTGAGGCTCTCTGGCTGATGTCTGTCCCTTCTGCACCCCCACTTTGTCAGTGTGAAGCAGCTAAGAAGAGGCCAGTGCCCCCAACCCACTTGGGGCAGTTCGAGTGATCTCTGAGAGGGGTCTAATAGGACGTGGGCATCCAACTGATCCCTCTTTGTGTCACTCTGGACCTTGTTTGCAGGACTAGAAGTAAACAGCTGGGCTGAAGCCCTGTTTGCATCAGCTAACCTCTGACTCATAGGCCTTATCCTTCAGGATTAGCGGGACTCTGGCTGCTGTGGTCTGCAAGGCTAGATCTGGCTGCTGCTAAGGATGGAATCTGTGCCCTCCTCTGTAGCGGCCTCATCAGTGAACTTGTAGTTCACACAAGTGTAGTGGCCACACCCTTTGGGCGTGGTTTCGGGTGCAGATGTGACCCCTTTGAGGTAGAGGAGCTGAGGGTGTGCTCTCTTGAAGAGCATCTGAAGGGCAGAGACCACATCTTCTGGAGCGGGGAGGCCTCAGCGGTTATTTACTGTTATCTGTGTAAGCTCTTCCCCAATAAAACCCCTATTATCATTTATCTTGGGTCTGGTGAACTCATTTAAACCCTGCCTTCATTCCTCCGTGAACAATGCTGCTTCTTCTGCACCAACAAATCGTAACTGGTTCCAGATGCAGCACAAGGACCAGACAGAAACTCGGCCACAGCCCCCTCCTGTGTGTGGGCTTCTGGGTTCCTCCCTCTCTGGGTGCTCCTTCAATAACTTCCCCTTTATTATCTCCACACTTATACTTTACGCTGTCTTTTAAATGTTTGCTCACTGAACTCCCCCCAGACCCAAACAAAATGCTCCACATAATGGCTCCCAGTGGCTCTCACCCTCCAACAGCTCCATTCCTTCCTGATACACCTGGAAAAGACCTTTTAGATGCTGTGGAGGAAATCTGGCTGCAGGGACCATTCTCCCTGTTACCCCAGGCCAGACACAGACGGTCCTGTTTTCTCCTGCTCCTTCCCTTGGATGCTCTGTAGCTCCCTGCTTCCGCTGGCTCACTCTGGTGCAGCAGTCCAGCGGTGGTCACCTGAACCTACTCTATACCCACTTGGTCTCACCAGCTCACTCTGTCTCCTCTGCCTCTACCCATCCTCTCTCTCCACCTTCCTAGGCAATCTCGGTTTTTCTCTGTAACTTCGTCCCCAGATGGTGGTCCTATTTTTGGAAGGTTATGGTCCCTCTGGAACAGGGTGCCATTGACACAGGCCACTGAGGGCTTTGAAGGTCACATCTCCTGTTCCAGTTTAGCTCTCTGCTTCTTGGTCATTTGCCACAACGTAACCATTCTGCCTCATCCTCCTGCTAACACAGTCTGAGAGCTGCCCTTGAAGCCAGGCCTTCCCCACCAGGTGGGAATGAATGCCCAAAAACTGTGGCCCAAAATAAATCCTTTGTTCCTGAGTTTTCTCCATTGGGAGTCTTGCCACAGTGACAGAGAACATGACTCTCACACACAGATATTTATAAACGTGTCCTGGGATCACGGCACAGATGAAGGAGGGTGTGGGCAAGTGCACGATAGAGAAACGGTGAGCAAATGCAGAGGAGTTCCTTCGTTGGATGGCCAGCAGGTCCACGGCCCTGAACACATAATAGAACTTCAGATCCTGGGGAGGAGACTTACGTTTTTAGAGGAATCATCTTCCAAATCTGAGGCTGAGGCCGGATCCTTCTTAGACTTTCTCGTAAAGAAGGACTTTCTTGTACTACCAAAAAACTTCCTCTTCTTTGGAGAAAAGGACGATGCTTGAAGGGAATTAAGCGAACTTCTGTCGATTCCCATGGCAACCAGAGCCTTTGAAAGAGAACAGAAGCAATTAATGAACAGATTATTCCTCCCTGTGGACATGCCAATGACCTCAGCCTCAGCGAGCTATTCTCTCTCCCCTCATAGTGGACCCTTCAGATCGCTCTTTGCCTCATTTGAATGTGTTAGCTGGGCTGTTGTTCATCCAGGGAGCGGCTTGGTTTTGCACAGGCCTCACAGTGTCAAAGGTAGGGTTAACTTTTGCACATTTCCCAGCGACTAACCCTAGACTGTGCTAGGGATGATACGTATTTATACCTGGGGACACCAAGGGCTTACCGCAGGCTTCCATCAGACAAATCTTGTTACGCAGAAGATAACACAGAATGTAAAAATACGGCTCCTACCCTGAAAAACTTGGAGTTGGAATAGAGAATGTAGGATGCCAGGATACCTCTTGGGGTGGCCTGCAACAGTGAGGGGATTCCAGGAAGGGAAGAACAAGCCTGCCTCTGTAGTAGAGCCCCAGCCCTCCACCAGGCAAAGTTCTGAAGAAAAATGCCTTCAGATTCACATAAGATAGTTTACAACAGAGCCTGAATTTACACATAAATAAGTTACATTCTGTAGCTGGTAATTTAGTGCAAGTTCAAGATGGTACAGGCTTCTGGGATTCAAAAAGCATTGAAACCACATTCTCAAGAATCCTGTGTCCACAACCCCAGAGAGCCTAGGTAACAAAGAGGACCCTAAGAGAGACACACATGGATGCTCCTACGAAGGGGAAAAAGACAAGAGCTCCTGAGTAAATTGGGAGCATGGGGGCAGTGAGGAGGGTGGGAGGGGAGAAGGGAAGAGGGAAGGGGGTGGGGGGAAATGCATAACTCAAGAACAACAACAAAAAAGAATACTGTGCGCAGACCAGATTGCTAACAGCAACAGAGCCAACCTACAAGGGCTCAAATTCTCAGTAAAACACGGGAAACCAAAGACTGACCTCCCCGAAAGAGGCAGCCTTCAGCCTCCATCGCCTGCCTCTGGGTCCCCTGAGGCCCCTGAAGCAGTTCTGCTGTCTAAGCCCCACCTCTTTCTCCTCCCTTAAGAGCTGCTGTGCTTCCCGAAACATCTTTTCCTTGGCCTCTGTCTCTGCGGCTACATTCCTGTTCTGTTCTTCATACGCCATGGTAACGACAGCCAGGGTTAAGTTGAGCAGGTAGAAAGAGCCCAGGAAGATGACCACCACGAAGAAGAAGACAAAGTAGATTCCAGAAGTCCGGAGGATCTGTGTGGGCCAGAACACAGCTCTTATCTATTGGATCTCCCATAGTCCTGCAGTCTAACACGGCCTCAGATACTCAGGCCTCCAGCAGGAGTGTCCAGCCAGTGGCCCGGGACAGTGCTGAGTGCAGCCTAACAGACAAATGGCGAACTTACTAAAATATGAACTATTTTACAGTATCTTAAGTGAGAAATTTGTGGATGGCAAAGTGCTGTTGCAACACCATGCAAAAGAAATAACTTGTGGTCTTGCCACACGCAAACACGGTGTGGCCCCTGATAATTCCTCTCCGTCCATTGTGACTCGGAGAAGCCAAAGGTTGAACACCCCTTCCAGCCTCCATGGTGAGTTCAGGCTGTCCACATAGAGAGAGTATTGCTAAGGGCAGAAGCATAGGCAGGGGTAGAAACAGATCTGTTTGTTCTCTTCTTTCAAACACCCTGTTCCATTGTCTTGGAGGTTTTTTGGGTTTGGGGTTGGGGGGTGTTGTTTGTTTGTTTGTTTGTTTGTTTTATTTTTCGGAACAGGGTTTCTCTGTGTAGCTTTGTAGACTGATCTGGCCTCGAACTCACAGAGATCTGCCTGCCTCTGTCTCCCAAGTGCTGGGATCAAAGGTGTGCGCCACCAATGTCCAGCTTGTCTTGGAGTTTATAACAGTCTCTGAAACAGAAGTCAGCTGTTCTGCCATGCTAGATAAGGAACAGATGGGAGCTGGAGGGCAGGTGTTAAATACGAGATAAGTGGGTTGGTAATGCAGGGAAGAGGTCAGGATGGTGAGGTGAGGGAGAAAGAGAGAATAAACAGGAACCTGTCGATAAAGCTTCTCCCAGGAGTCCTGAGTCATAACCCGGAACATGGCAAGAAAAGACCAGCCAAAGTTGTCAAAGTTCGTGTAGTTATAGTCTGGGTTGAACGAGGTTTTATTGCATGTAGAGCCTTCGGGACAGCGGCTGGACGTTGGAAACAAAGGAATTGAGAACAGGTTATATTTCCCCCAGCCCATCTTTCCTGCTTCAGAGGGCCTTGGGCTTCTCTCAAGAAAACGTAGAGAAAGGGTGGCCACCCCACCCCTCCCCCACATGCTGAGTTTCCCTGGTGTCCCCTGAAGCCTCCCGTTGACCCTTCCAATGGATCGATGAAGAAACCCTATTAGCCAGGTTTTCCTTGAAAGATTAAGTGCAGATACAAGGCACACCATTGATACAAAAGCCCAAATCATGGGGGCTGTGGGTACCAGTACAGGGTGGAACCTGTCAACCTCCACCATGGAAACAGGAGGAGCTCAAGAGGCCCCACCCTCTCCATGAGAGACTTTGACAGTTAGTGGTGGCTGGAGAAGGTAGTGCATGCCTTTCCTCAGTAGTGTCACCACTGGTAAGCTGTCAGCAATAAATAATCTCTCACCTGTGTGTGTGCAAGCAACCCTAATTCAACTGGGTGGCCTGCACACATACATGTGCACACACACTCACACACGAGTGCACACACATGAGTGCACACATACATCACAAATGTAGGAGGACATACTGGAGACAAGACAGGTTTCAGCAGGGGAAGGAGTGGGGATAAGGAGGGCAATGGAGAAAAGAACTGAAATTCACTATACACACGTATGATTCAAACTGTCAAAGGATAAAAAGGTAAACTGAAGAACAAAAATGAAATTGGAGAAAAGAACAGAGAAGGAATGAACTTTGGGACAACGATAATTTACATAATTTAAAATAAAAATCTTGCAGCTTAAAAAAAAAGTATACAAAATGGTCATTAAGTCCTTCTGTCTGTCCCCTGGTCCCACTTAACCATGGGTGCCAGTTAACAATCAGCTTTAGAAGCTTCCAGGTTCTAAAGGGAGAGAAACACACATGCTTAATTGTTCATTCGTCCACACACACCTTTACAATAAGCCCGCCGGAGCGTGTCTCAACCACTCTCAAGCAGCTTTCTTGTGAGAAGGTATCACCTGCTTTCTTATGAATAAATATGATTTATTCTATGAACAAACAGGAGGTGTTTCCTTTTGTGTCTTACAGTTATCACTTATTTAACTTCTCAGTTACCTTTGCAATACTCACAGATCCATTCCATAAATTTGAAGTATCGTTGAATTTTCTATATATTTCCTGTGAGCTACCAATTCCACATAACTAGGGAGAAATCTGCTAGCAACACTTGCAAATAATTTGTTGTTGTTTTAGGGGGTTTTTGTTTGGTTTTGTTTTTCAAGACAGGGTTTCTCTGTGTATTGCTGGATGTCCTGGAACTCGCTCTATAGACCAGGCTGGTTTCAAACTCAAAGATCCGCCTGCCTCTGCCTCTGCCTCTGCCTCTCAAGTTCGGGAGTTAAAGGCGTGCGCCACCACTGCCCAGCTAGAAATAATTTCTATTTGAATAACACAAGTCTAAGCTTGTGTAAGCCAGGCAAGGCAGCACGTGCCCATAGTCCCAGCTATTTGGGAGGCTGAGGCAGGAGGATCCTAAGTTTGAGTGGCATATAATGAGACTTTGTCATGAAAAGCAAAAGTTAGGAGCCTGGACAGGAGTTAAGAGCACCGGCTGCTCTTCCAGAGAGACAAGCTTCTATGTCCGGCACCTCATGTCAGCACACAGCCACCTATAACTCCAGGCCCAGGGAATCCGAACCCCTCTTTTGGCCTCTGCAGACACTGCATGTACATGATACACAGACATACATGCATGCAAAACATGCACACACACATAGAAGTTAATTTAAAGTTTACTAATTTAAAACTAAAGTAAACAAATAAATAACCCAGAGCTGGAGAGACGGCTCAGCGGTTAAGAGCACTGGCTGCTCTTCCAGAGCACCCAGGTTCAATTCTCAGCACCCACATGGCAGCTAATGACTGTCTGCAACTCCAGTGCCAGGGGATCTGGCTCCCTCACACAGACATATATGCAGGTAAAACACCAATGCACATAAAATTTTTTAAAAAGTAAGTCAAAATAAAATAAAATAGCTGGGCATTGGTGGCGCACACCTTTAATCCCAGCACTTGGGAGGCAGAGGCAGGTGGATGTCTGTGAGTTCAAGGCCAGCTTGGTCTACAAGAGCTACTTCCAGGACAGGCTCCAAAGCCACAGAGAAACCCTGTCTCAACAAACAAAACAAACAAACAAACAAACAGAAAATAATATAAATAATAATATAATAATAATATAAATTAATTAATATAATATAAATAAATATAATATAAATAAATAATAATATAAATCCCTGCTTAGCCATAGGAAACTCATCCCTGGGAGCTCCCACCACTGCACTAGTCGTTACATGAAGACTATTTGCACATATTCCAAAAGGTCTTGGGGTGGCCGACACGGGAGGAACATAGCCTAGACCTCTTACCTGTTACCGAACCAGGTGCCACACATGATGAAGTCGTCACTATTTTTCTCCTTTACAAAGCAATCCTCTAAGAGAAGAAAGTCATAGGTTCCGATTAAAAGAGAAAAAAAGACCGACATAAAAAAGAATAGCAAATTTGTCAGACTCTTTTTCAAACAGCTAATTTTAATCCTCTGAAGTGATGGACAAGGCATTGAGAGGGGAATGGAGCCTTAGAAAGTGAGGGGGTGGAGAGGAAAGGAGGAAGGAAGGAGAACAAGAGGATGGGCCATCGCCATCACCACGTGACCACACGGAACATTCATCACCCCCCCTCCCCCCGTGGACCAGATGGCCAGCCCCACGGAAAAGCCAGACGTGACTCGGCCATGACCATGTGAAGAGAACCCAACTACATGAAGTTCAGGATCATCAAAGAGGAGTGTGTCTGACCTGACCTCGGGGCAGAGAAGGTAGGCACCGAAAAAGCATCCACATTGCAATAATAATAATAATAATAATACTTGAAGTGGGGAGGGGTCTTGTTCCCTTTGGCCAAACCCAGGAGTTCTGAACTCCCTCTGAAAACCATGCTGAGTCAAAGGACTGAGCTCTTACGTCAAAGGGAGCAGTCACTGCTCTTGTAGACCTGAGATTTCCCTTCCCCAGAGAAACTCAGAGAATGAAGGAATTCTCCACAAAGTGTGTGTGTGTGTGTGTGTGTGTGTGTGTGTGTGTGAAGTCCGGGGTGGATAGTCTCCCTTTGCTCCTAAGGATAGTGTAATCAGACGGTACAAATGGGGAGCAAGTCAACCAGGCACAAACCAAAGGGAACTCACTGTTGGATGTAGAGTTGGGGCCACAGTTGTCCTTAATACATCTCCGGTTCAGAGTTCCCATGAAGAGCTGCTGACCAACCAGGGCAAAGATGCTGAGGCAAAAGAGAGTGAGAACCATGACATCTACCAGCTTCTTCACAGAGCGCAGCAGGGCCCCAACAATAACCTTCAGACCTGAGGGGATGAGACAGTTGGGGAGAAACAACCTTCAGCCCCTGACCAGACATAGGCAAGGGTCAAGGAGGGATGAATGGAGGTCTGGGAGGCTGTGTGGTAAGAGACACACTGTCAGCATCGCCATACTTGATCTCAAATTGCATGACAGAGCCACAGTAACGAAGGCAGCCAGAGGAGGCACTGACACCAACCAGAAAGAATTCGGGACCTGGAAACACAGCCACACAGGTACAGCCACCCGATTTTTGACAAAGATGTTGAAGACAAACATCAGAAAAGGAATGTCTGCCTTTTCAATAAATGTTGCTGGGGAAGCTGGCGGTCCACTCACAGAACAAAACTGGATTTGTACTCGATGGGGGATGTCCTTCTGTATCTATGGGGGACGTCCTTCTGTATCTATGTTTCCCTTGTTGGCTCATGAATAAAACACTGATTGGCCAGTAGCCAGGCAGGAAGCATAGGCGGGGCTACCAGACAAGGAAAAGGCTTGGGAGAGGACACAGAGAGAAGCCTTGAGGGAGACGCCATGTAGCTACCGAGAAGATAGGACACTCCGGACATTCTCTGGTAAGATAAGGCCATGTAGAAATACATAGATTAATAGTTATGGGTTGAAAATTAAGAAAGAGCTAGCCAGTAGGAAGCCTGAGCCATCAGCCAAACAGTTTCTAATTAATATATGTGTCAGTGTGTTTATTTGGGGCTAAACAGCTTCGGATTAGAGACCTTATTTGCAAGACCCAAATCTCTAAACCTGCTAGAGAAAAATTCGGGAAATAATTCCTGATACAAGCGTAGGCAATGGCACTCAGGAAAAGATGCTGAAGGCTCTGTTCCAGGAACAGCAGCAAAGGAACAACCAGCCAAGTTTCGAGGCAGCTTACAGAATGGGAACAGACCTCTGCCAGCTGTACAGCTGCAGAAGAGTAGCATGGAGAAGCTACAAAGAACTCAAAAAATTAAGCACTGATAAAACCGTCCAGTGACTAAGTGGGCAAATGAACTAAACAAGAGATTTTAAATTAAGTGTATTTTCATTTTTCAAATCATACTTTAAAAATAGCGCTGTAATAGAATGATTTGATGACAGTTTTAAACAGAAGAAGAAATACAAAATTTTCATGTTATCAAGTCCCTTTTCTCAAAACAAATGTTTTTTTTTTTTAAAAAAAAAATCACTTTTTCTTAGCAGGTCACTGTGAGAAGCGCATTCAGAGACTGGCTGTGTCTGATTCCGATCTTGCTAATAGTCCAGGGAATTAAGAAGAAATCACAGTGCCTATAATTCCCACTTCAAAGCAGTAACACATGCTGGATTGTGTTGGTTGTGACTGGCTCCTGCTGCTTCAAAATCAAATGGCTGATCTGTGTATGGAAAAAACACTCAGTGTCCTGACACACTCATATCCCCTGAAGATAGTATTTTTCTCTCAGGGAGCGTTCTACTTGCATTCCCCATGGCTGAGGACACTGAGTGTTTTGGTTTTTGGTTTTTGGAGACAGGGTTTCTCTGTGTAGCCCCGGCTGTCCTGGAACTCAAGAGATCCTTCTGTCTCTGCCTCTCAAGTGTTGGGATTAAAGGCGTGCGCCACCACTGCCCAGCCCAGCTAGGGTGAAGAGAAGGAAATCTGGAGGGAGAGACTGGGTGGTGGAAAAGAAGAACTGGGAGGGGAGAAGGAAGGGAGGGAGAAAGGGAGGGAGGAGGACGGGGAGGAATGAAGAGAGGGGCTGATGAGAACGTGTGGAAGAAGAAGAGATCCTTGTCCATTGCTGGTGGGAATATCAATTTAATGCAGACACTATGAAAATCAACACAGAGGACCCTCAAAACCTAAACGGAGGACCACCATGCAACCTTGCTATATCACTCCTAGGTGTATGATTACCCAAAGTCAACATGCAGCAGAGACGTCTGTTGGTGTGGTGTCCTTCATAACAGCAAAACCAGAGAGGTGGCTGTGAACCCACCCAGTGGAAAAGCAGCAAGGGCTCCCAAGTGCGGACCCATCTCTCCAGACCCCCATTTGGAAATGTCTTAATGTCAGAGAACATTTTAGCTAAGAGTCAGTACTGGAAGTGTCTTACCTGAGACCACAGAAATTGCTTTCAGAGCTCTGAACACTCGGAAGGTACGAAGAGCTGAAAGATTGACTTTGGTACCTGGGAAACACGTTGCGACCCTAGGAGACAGAAGACAGGGAGAGCCCAGGTTGCTGGGTACCACTGCTGGGTCATACATTCCAGGAAGGCCAGAGATTGGTGGCGGTGTCTTCTTCAATCTCTGTCCACCTGAATTTTTGAAACAGGGCCTCTCACTGAGCCCAGGTCTTACCAGTCAGGCTGGACTAGCTGATGGGCATGCCCCGGGGATCATTCTCTGGGAGAATGTGTGACTCTGGGAAAATCAGTCTCACAGAGCTGGTGTTGCACACACATGCTGCCACAAACAACTGCTTTCTTGTGGGGGCCTGGAATCAGTCTTTTACTTGCACAGCAGGCACAGCAGGCACTTTCCCCACTGAGCCATCTCCCCTGCCCTGGAACCCACGCTCTTAATCACCGAGTCACACCGACAAAGGCCGGGAGCACATAAACAGTGATCTTCAAACATAAAACTCAGATGAATAGCAGCTGCCTCTAATGACTCTGTGACAGAAACAGGGAAAATATAGGCAACGCTAGCCACACTGCCTGGTACTATGTAACAGGTAGTGTACTATTGTCACGCTGGCTTGATTTTTTATTTTATTGACTCTATCATTTGAGTATCAAAACAGTGTTTATTTCCAGGAACAATTTCTACACTCACCTTGAATCATCCACAACTGATTCAAAATGAGGTTGTGGTGTGGCCCAGGGGGTAAAGGCACTGGACATGCAAACTTGAAAACCTGAGTTCAATGTCCAGAACCCACGTAAGAAGCCAGACGCAGCATTGCACATCTGTAATCCCTGCAGTCCTATGGCCATGTAAGAGGCAGAGGCAGGAGGATCACTGAGAAGCTCACAGGTCTGCTAGCCTGGAATATGCAGTGCAGCAGTAACAAGACAGGCCCCAGAAGTTGCCCTCTGACCTCCATGTACATTCTGTAGCACAAAAAGTTGGGTGGGGTGGGAGTTCTGGGGAGGTGACTCAGTAGTTACAATGCTTTTCCTGCAAGCATGAGGACCAGGGTTTGGATCTCCGTTGGGTGGATGTGGTGATTGAAAGAAAATGACCCCCACAGACGCATAGGAAGTGGCACTGTTAGGGGGCGCAGCCTTGATGGATCAGGTGTGGCGTTGTTGGAGGAAGTGTGACTCAGTCTCTTCCTGCTGCCTTCAGATCTGGATGCAGAACACTCAACTACCTCTCCAGAGCCATGTCAGCCTGCACGCCGCCATGTTTCCTGCCGTGACGATAATGGACTGAACCTCTGAACTGTAAGCCACCACCTCAATTAAATGTTTTCCTTTGTAAGAGTTGCCATGGCCCTGGTGTCTCCTCACAGCCATAGAAACTGTAGGACAGTGGGCATGGTAGCCCACCTAAATTCCAGCCTCAGAAGACTAACCACACCCGTGAACTCTGGGTTTGATTGAGAGACTCTTACTGAATGAATAAGACAGGAGAGCATGGTTCCTGACATCAATCTCTGGCTTCTACATACATGTGTGTGCATGCAAAACATGTCTCAAAAACCAAACCAAACAAACAAAAAATCTCATTCGCTTGCTTAAAACCCTTCACAGTTTCCTTCCTCTTACCCTCAGCATGATGACTGAATGAAACCCTTGGCTTAGTTTTTAAGATCTTTTGTGACTGTCCCATCTGACCAATCCAGAGTCTTGCCATTGTCCCCTAAACACACACACACACACACACACACACACACACACACACACATTCACACACACCACACACATTCACACACACACACACACACACACACACACACCACATGCACACACACCACACACACCACATGCACACACACCACACACACCACATACACACACACACACCACACACACACACATGCACGCACACACACCACACACACCACACACACACACACCACACACATTCACACACACACACCACACATATTCACACACACCACACACACACACACACCACACATTCACACAAACCACACACACACCACACACACTCACTCACACCACACACATACACTACACACACTCACCACACACATACACACCACAAACATATACACCACACACACACAGCACAGACCACACACACACACACACACATATACACCACATACACACCACATTCACACACACTGGGCCATGGACTGTAACACAAAAGCACCAAGTAGGAAATCATATCATGCCATATGCAGCAATTAATTCAAAATTAAACTTAGAAGCCCAAGCTAGAAAACTTGCTGAAGAAAGTCTTTGTGGTCTCACAGTAGCCAAAGATCCTTGCCAGAGAGTCCTTGGTCCTCCCTCGGTGCTCTGACACCCACGCGTGTGCAGCCCTGTCCTGGTAACCTTCCACCGTATTGTAATCATCATTAATCCTGTCTTCCTCTGAACTGTGAGCATTGTGGTGGTGAGGGCCACACCTTTCTGTTGTTTTGTGTTTTGTTTCTACAACCCTGTACTTAGAGAGGCTGGCTATCAAGAGGTCACTGTTGGTCAGTGAGTGACAACATGAGCGATGGGTGTGTGCCTGGAGGCCCCTGGCCCAGTAGCTTCCTGGTGTTGTTCAGAATCAACCAGTGCCCCACTGAGGGACTCAGGCAACCTTGGGTCACCTCACCCAATCCTGTGAATCTACACAGAGGCCCACAGGGAGCCTTCTTTCCCACCCTGAGAGTCTCCCGACAAAATCTTTCAGCACTCTTACGCTGTTCCAATGACAATGAAATCCAGCCAGTTCCACGGGTCTCGGAGGAAAGAAAACTCATCCAGGATGAAGCCTCTTGCCAATATTTTAATCACGGCTTCTAAAATATAAATCCCAGTAAAGATGTACCTACAAAACAAATCATTCGTAAAAAGAAGGGATGAGAAAAGAAAAGAACCACACTGAGGATGCCGCTCAGCAGGTGGGTGTTCGCCTAGCGTGTATGAAGCCTGGGTTTGACTCCCACCCACCCACACCCCACCCATGGTACCACATAAACCAGGCTTGCTGGTGCATGCCTGTAGTCCCAGCACCAGCCGGATGGGGTAGAAACAGGAGAGTCAAAGGGGCTGGAGAGATGCTCAGAGGTTAAGAGCACTGTTTGCTCTTCCAGAGGAGCAGAGTTCGGTTCCCAGAACCTACATGGAGGCTGACGGCAATCTGTAAGAGGGATCCAATGCCCTCTTCTGGCCTCCATGTGGTACACAGACATACATACAAGCAAAACACACATACACATAAAATACATAAGTAAAAATAAAATAAATACTCTAAATACAGGAAAAATAAGAGTTGAAAGTAAAAGATAAAAAATGATGCTGGGCACACCTTTAATCCCAGCACTTGAGAGGCAGAGACAGGCGGATCTCTGTGAGTTCAAGGCCAGCCTGGTCTACAAGAGCTAGTTCCAGGACAGCCTCCAAAGCCACAGAGAAACCCTGTCTCGGAAAGAAAAAAAAAAAAAAGGTTTATTTTTACTCTATTTATGTGGGAATGTATATGTGTGGGCATGCGCACATGAATGTAGGTGCATTCAGAGGCCAGAAGAGGGCGTCAGATCCCCTAGAGCAGTTGTGATCTATCCAATGCGGGTGCTGGGGTCTGAACCCGGCTCTTCTTCAAAAGCAGTGGCTTATTTAGTCCCGGGGACGGAACCCAGGGCTTCGTGGACTTGAGGCAAGCACTCTACCAACCGGGCCACATCCCCAGCCCCTTAGCCAGGCTTCTAAAGAAGAAAAACTTTAGAGCACGTGGATGCAGGGACAGTACTCACTCGGAAATTTCCATGAGTAAACTTCCGTCCCCAGAATTAGCCATGAACATACAGTTGATGAGCACTGTACAGATGATGAGCATGCTGAAGAGCGTGGCAGGGCTGGTTAAGGTGCACACCCTGTGGGACCCGACAACCCCGAGAGCAGATGGGGATGGGGACAGCCATTGTGATGGGGACCTCTGAGCTGCTTGCATGCAAGAGTTGGCGCCAAACAATTCCGGCTTCTCCCCTCCTCTGGAGGAGGCTCCCTGCTAAACAGCAGCCCCTCATCTGAAGAACTACACTCCCACACATCTGGCTGATAGAGATTTTAAAAAACTTAAAAAAATAAAAAAATAAAACAAAAAAAAATCTGTCCTTGAGTCGGAGGTGTAGGTGGCTCAGTTGGTAGAGTTTACCCAGCATGCACAAAGCCCTGGCCTCAATCCCCAAGCCCTGCACGAACCAGGCACAGGCGCCAGGGAGAACAGAGAGGCATCTGTACCTCAACATCATCCTTGGGCCACAGAGAGTCCAAGGCCAGCCTGGGCTACATGAAACCTGGTGTCTTGTGTTCTAGAAACTCCCCACAGAGTCAGGCTTAGCTGGGACTGCAGCCTTGCTTGACACATGCTCATACCGTCCCCTGGCAGTGCAGGAGGACAAGTCCCAGAACATCCTGCATGCTAAAAAGGTACTCTGCCCTGAGTACCCCCAGCCTGCTCAGTGCTCTGTCCTGAGTACCCCCAGCCTGCTCAGTGCTCTGCCCTGAGTAACCCCCGAGTCTGCTCAGTGCTCTGCCCTGAGTACCCCCCCAGCCTGCTCAGTGCTCTGCCCTGAGTACCTCCTGAGTCTGCTCAGTGCTCTGCCCTGAGCCCCCCCCCCGAATCTGCTCAGTGCTCTGCCCTGAGTACACCCCCCCAGCCTGCTCAGTGCTCTGCCCTGAGTACACCATCAGCCTTCTCAGCCCTTCCTCTTTTCCAGCCTGCGTTCTTTCTTCCTTCTCCAGAGAGTTCTCTACTAAATCACTTAAACAGGAGTCCCCTACACAGACCCTGCTTCCAGGGGACCAACCTAAATACTGACTACCATTCTCAGCAGTAGGTCTATGTGTGCTAGTGCACACTGGCCTTCTCTCTCACTGGTACAATGACCTAGCCTCTCAGCTACCTCCACACACAAGAATGCTTAATAATCCCCATGTCTCTGTCCTCAAAATCTGAGTCCAAAAGGTCTACATCTTAAGAGTCTAGAAGGTCACATCAACTGAGCCACCTCGGGCTTTATAGGGTGGGGGATGGGGTGAGATAGCCAGCACAATCCTCCACAAGAGGCAGAGGCCTCTCGATACACCGGTCTTGCCAGGGAGGAATGCAAGCTTAGCCTAGCAAGAGGTTTCTGTTTGCGTGTACACAAATGTTTGGTATGCATGAGCATGCACGAATGTGTGTGTGTGTGTGTGTGTGTGTGTGTGTGTAAAATGCATGTGCGTATGTGTGCGGTTCAAATGTGGACAGGGGCGCTATGTGTGCCATGGTGCATATCTGTGTTGTCTTCAGGTGTCTTCCTCAGTCACTCCCACCTTATACACTGAGGCAAGGTCTATCCATTGAACCCAGAAGTCACCCATTCAGCTAATGTAACCAGAGGGCTTGCTCTGAGGATCCCAGAGCTGGGATTGCAGGCAGACTGTCACGGCTGCCTAGCATTAATGTGGGTGCCGCGGATCTGAACCCTGGTCCTCACACTCATGTAGCAAACGCTTGACCAGCTAGCTAAGCCATCTCCCCAGCCTGTGGGATGGGGGTTTGTTTTTAGAGAAAAGCTGAAAATAGGACCCTCGACGCCAGAAAAAGTCTCCGAGATGCTGCAGACACTGTACAGGTCCATCAGAGTCCATCTATCGGCTCAGTGTGCACAGGCTGCCAGTGTGCAGATAGCACATAGCATCTCTAAGATGCCACTGCTTGTGGAAGCCGTTCTGATGCCTCCCTGGCTCTGCAGTGTCCATCTGTCCTGCTGTTTCTGCAGTCACTTGGAATCGAGAGCCTATGGGTCTGTCTCCTGGGCCACAGCTGCTCACACACACCGCCCCACACAGCGCCAGACCCACTGTAATAGCACTTTGGGAACAAGGACTATTTGCTTCCACTGAAATTGGAGCTGGGACGAGGCTCATCTATCAGATAGAAGCCCTGTGTTCAGTTCCCTGCACTGCATAAACTGTGTGGAGGTGCATTCCAATAGTCCCAGAAGTTGGTAGGTGGAGGTCAAAGAGATATAGTTTGAGGTCACCCCCTGCTCCATAGGGATGTCAAGGACAGCTTGGGCTACAACACCCTGATTCAGATTAATAACAACAGTACACACACAGACCCCTGGGGCTTCCCGAAGCCTGGACCTAGGGAAAGGATATGAATGGACAGAGATCCGAATCACTAAACTTCTGACGGGATTGAAAGGCCCCAAAATGAACAAGGCCCGCTTGGCACTGAAACGATATATTGTCCTCTTCTTGTTCAACACCATGAATGTCTGCGAAGAAATCACAACACAGAAATTAACACATTGACAAAACAACACTCTTCAAGAACACATCTGGAGAAAATTCTGGGGAACCACATCTTGAAACCTGACTAGTAACCGCAGCTTCTGGTGGTAGAATTATTGACCAGCTACCCTGTGATTCTGGAGGCCAACAGCTCCTATTACATGATCTTGACTTCAACACTAGTGTGCTGTGGGCTGTGTGTGACATTACAGTACATGCTGAGGACCGCAGTCCTGAAGCTACAGAAAGCAGGGTGTGGGGTCATACCTGGGCAAGCAAACCTCTGATATGGATCTTCACATATGCTTGTGTGGAGCAGGACTAGAAGGAGCCCACGTAGGCACCGAGCTGCAACAGCCACACATAGTAGGCATCTTAAGTTACTACCATTCTCAAAGACGTTTTTGTGTTTGTCTTATGATACAAAGAGACTTAGAGTCTGTACCTTTACAAAGCAGGTCTGAACAGTTCTAATGAAATTACCGATCTGTTCCTAACCTTCAAGATATTCCCGGGGCTGGTGAGAGAGCTCCACAGGGGAAGGTGCTTACCACCAAGTCCGAAGGCCGCAGTTCCATCCTGAGGACCCATATGATGGTGGGAAAGAACCGATTCTGGCAAGTTGTCCCCTGACCTTTGCACATGTGCTAAGACATGCACTTGTATACAACACACACTCACTAAAATTAATTGATTGATTGATTAATTGACTGACTGACTGATTGATTGATTGATTGATTGATTGATTGATTGATTGAACAAATAAATGTAGAATCTTCCAGGGGGAAAGGATACCAAGCGTGATGTAGTGTCATGTATGATGCTGACTGCTGAGTGGACAGTATCTGGAATTATGTAAGTTTCTGCACATCTCTGTGAAGGATTCTCTACACTGTGTTGATTAAGGTGGGAAGACCCATCCTAAGTGTGGGTGGCACTGGGATCCCAAATGTGGTGACACCATCCATGGCCTGGGATCCTGACTGAGTAAAAAAGAGAAAATGAGCTGAACAGCAGCATTTGGCTCCCTGCTTCCTCACTGTGAATGAGATGTGACCAGCCACCTCAGGCTCCAGTCACTATGACCTTTGGCCTCACAGACTGTAGCCCCACAGGGTGAAGTCAAAAGAACCTTTCCTCAACTGAGTGACTTCCTGTCAGGTGTCTGATGACAACCACAAGAAGAGTAACTAACATACAAAGACCTCACTCTCTCCTCCCCGACACAAGCACAGCAAACCTATCTGTGGCCCTTACCTGAGGAAGGAAGGGGTACTGCCCTAGGCATGGCCGTGTTGCCTCTGTCTGTGACTGGGGCTCAGCTGGCCCTTACTGGGTAGGTCCACAGATGTTAGACACAGGACGGACCTGCCAAATGATGAGTTCCCACATCTAAAGAGCCCAGTGGGCTATCTTAGTTTCCTTTGTGTTGCTGTGATAAAGCTCATTACCAAAAGGAACTCGGGAGTAATGGGTTTACTTGGCTTACACATCCCAGTCCATCATGACACGAAGCAGGAACTGAAGCAGAAGCTATGAAGGAACGGTGTTTACTGGCTCGTTCTCCATGGCTTGCCCAGTTTGTTTTCTTACACACCCCAGGGCCACCCACCCAGGGAGCTGCGCCCTCCTGCATCCATCATTAATCAAGAAAATGCCCCCACAGACTTGTCCATTGGCCATTCTGATGGGGACATTCATTCTCTCAACTAATTTTTCCTCTTCCCAGGTGGTCTTAGGTTGTATCAAGTTGACAAACAACTAACCAGCACACATACTATATCCAGTTCTTCCTAATGTGTCTCTGGGCTCTGGGAACAAAGTAGCCCTGGACAGAGCTTGTCACTCACTAGTTTCTACAATCTGCCCCAAGCCCCCCTTTCTATTTAACAGTAGATCAGCTCTCCTACCTGTCCAGAGGCCAACAGTCACAAAAGCCTTACAGAGAGAGAGCCATTCCTGTCTCCCACCCCATTGCTCCTCTGGTGTTAGGGGAAATCCCACTTGACCTGTGGTCTAGCCTGTTCTCAGATAAGACGGGCAGGCCCAGAGCTGGAAGAGAAATTCTACTCTGGCTCTATACCAGCTCATTGTAGCCACCTCCCTCCCATCGGTGAGTTGCTGGACACACCGATCTGTCTGCAAGAGAAAGCATGGCCAGAGTGCCTGTCTTACCCCACACAACACATGAAATGGGCCATGGGGTTCCTTTGGTGCTAGGAGCCTGTGAGCCAAGACTTCTTAGAAGGGTCCTGTGCCTTCCTTTGAGTAAACGCCTTTCCAGGGCAGAGCAACCTCTTCTTTGAGGACAGACACCCCTGATGACGGGGGAGCTCCTGTACACTTTAGTTGTATCACTGTTTCCTCTCCCTGCTTTAAATATTACGGCTAATGGTGCCTTTCACAACACTTGCCAGGGCTTTAACGACTAGGACAGGGTCCAGCTCCTCCGACCGGCTTCTGACACGTCTCTACTTCTTTCTTCCGCAGGAGGGAGCGGGGCCTAAGTTGCGGAGAACTAATTAAGTCTTCAGATTGGGTCCTGGCTGTTTGGGCTGTTTGACCATATAAACTTTGGGGTTCCTCATCGTTAAGGCACTGTGCTCTCACATGAATGCTGAGTACACATGCCACATAAGATCAAGGGTGTGCTGGGCTCAAAACAAAAGCCTTGCCTTCCAGTTCAAAGGCTGAGCCCAGGCTAAGAAGTGATGGCCCTAAAACCAGAGCCTGCCCCCCCAGAGTCAGCCCCTCACAAAGCTATTGCTTGTCCTGTAGGCTTCCTACCCAGCTCTAAGGCAGAGAGAAGATTCTCCCTACCAAATCTTCCATGACAACCATGCCCCCAGAAGCACCTGAGATTCTGGGGAACAATGAAAAGGAGAAATGAGTGCTTTTTTCTATCTCTCCCTCCCTCCCACATGTACTCCACGTTTGCTCTAAGTGGTCCTTCCCCATCCATGTTTGGTCTGGCAGCTCTGCTGTTTCCACTTAAAGGGCACGGACCCAGGCAACCACTCTTTGAGAGATCAGGGTTCCCTTGCTGTCAGCAAAAGATGCTCTTGGCACCACAGTCATTACACTAAAAATCCCCCCAGGCTCCAACTCCAGGGGATTTCACCCCCTTTTCTGGCCTCTGTGGGCACCGCACACACATAGTACATAGACACACACAGACAGACACAACACCATGCACATAAACAAAAACTAATTTGGAAAAAGAAGAATTAGATAGAGGGATGGTGAGATGGCTCAGCAGGTCAAAGGTACTCGCCAAGCCTGACAACCTGAAGTTGATCCCAGGACAAATGTGGTAGGAGAGAACCAACCCCAAAATCTTGTTCCCTGACCTCTGCACGTATGCCATGGCACATGGACACACACACACACACACACACACACACACACGAAAAATGAATGTAATAAAGTTAAAAGGCAGAATTACATGTAGTAGATAAACCATGGAGGCTTCCATATTTTCACATGGGGTTGGCATATAATTCAAATGTGCCCGCTTGATTAACATGTACTTAGCCTTCATCAAAGGTGCCTACTTTGAATCAATTATCAGTTTGACTGTCGTTAATCTCACTCCACAGTCTAGAAAGCCTATTGACCAAATGTTTTTTGAGATGCCACTCTGGCTGAAATGGGCATCCCTTTGCAGAGCTATTATTAATTGTTGACGTCAATATAATTTACAATCTGTAGAGTGATTCCACAGCACACCTTGCCTTGGGGTGGGGAGATCAGCCATTTGTACCCACTTTAGAGACAGGAAGTGTCTGGAGGCATGAGCCAGTCTGGAGTGGTGGCCTGACCTCCCTTCCCTGCCTGCCATGCTCTGTCAGACATGCCTGTTTCCTGTGTTGACCTTTGAACCTTTCTGCCTCATCTCCCTCCCAGCACAAGCATTAGACCAGCAGATAAGACCCCACGTTGTTTCTCAGAGCTACAAAGACAGGGTGACAGCAGAGGAGAAGTGAGGCCTGCCTCCCACACACCCCAAGAACCAGTAACACAGTTGTGAGTGCAGGCAGGGACACCCCAGGACTGTGTGGAAGTACCTTATGGTCTCTGTAGAATGGGTCCAGGTCTTCCAGGGGCTTCGCTATCAGATCGTGGGGAATGTCACCGTAAAGCTTTGGCAACTTCCTGGAGGCCTTTAGGTCCAGCTGAGGCCGAGGCTGGGGCTCAGCAGCTGCCTTGTCCTTGGACTTCTTCTTCTCCTTCTGGATGGCGATTCGCTTCTCTATTGCAGCCAGGGAGTCAGAAGTAAAGGGGCGGAAATTCCGCTCGTCTGGGAAGATCACTGGGTAGTACCTGTCCTCCATCTGCACCCTTGGGACAGAGACGTGGTGGAAACAGAGTTCTCAGGATAGGGATGGAACTCGGCTTCTCTGCAGTTGGCTCTCAAGGGATAGCGTCCTGGAGTTCTACAGAAATGGATGCTGAAATGACAAAGCTTGGATGTCTGTTCTGCAGACCAGAAAAGGCTACCATATGGTCACAGTAGAAGCTTAGGGCACAGAATCGATACAGACCGGAAGGATAGACCGGGGCACTTTGTATTCTGTATGCTTTTCATGTTGTAGAAAAGGTCTTGTGTGGGGCTGGAGAGATGGCTCAAGAGGTTAAGAGCACTGGCCGCTCTTCTAGAGGACCCGGCTTCAATTCCTAGCACCCACATGGCAGCTCACAACTGTCTGTAACTCTGACACCCTCATATAGACATAAATATAGGCAAAACACCAATGTACACAAAATAAAAATAAATAATTTTTTTAAAAGGTCCTGTGTATATACATTGTAAGCTGGTCCTCTGGAAAAGCAACAAATGCTCTCAACCAATGAGCCATCTCTCCAGCCCCAAGAGTAAGCATCTTGTCACACAATCACCTTCAATCAATATTCACCTCCCCTAAAAGAATAGGGGAGATAAAAGCACCAAACTGATGACCAGACTCCAAATATGTCTGATGGCCAGGAGACTAAATCCTGCAGCAACTGCAGAGCAGACAAAAAGAACAAAGACCGGGGGCCTGGCGCCTGTCTGTCCACAGCACAGGGCACGACAATAGTCCTTTGGAAAATACACTGCTACTGAAACCAGAACTGGAATTACAGGCAATGGAACACACTGACCATGGTATATCTGTTTGTCATGCTGTAAAAACATGCTCCTGTGAGACCCACAGAAAAAGAAGTGCCCTCAGGATCTAGCCCAGCTGATACTGACTGAAAATGTATTAATTTACTCAAAAGAAGTAACAAGGGGGTTGGAGAGATGGCTCAGTGGGTAAATATGCTTGTCCCCAAGGCTGACAGTCTGGGTCCACTCCCCCAGACCATGTGGTAGAAGGAAAGAACCAACTCTAGTAAGTTGTCCTCTAACTAATTTTCACACCGTGCTGTCCAACATAGGTGAGGGCGGGGTGGGGGGGTGGGGGGAGATGGGGAATGTGGTAAATTTTTGATTAAAAAGTACCAAGGAAACTACTACAAAACACAGTTTGAAACCTCTTCAACACTTCACAAGAGCACAAACCTCCGGTCACATCTTCCAGAGAAGACTGTTTCTAAAAAGACTCACATGAAAGTAGAAAATATGGGGCTGGAGAGACGGCTCAGTGGCTATGGTCTCTTGACTGCTCTTCCAGAGTTCAATTCCCAGCACCCACATGGCAGTTCATCACTATCCTTAAATCTAGTTCCAAGGGATCCAACTCCCTCTTCCGGCCTCCATGGCACTTCATGCATGTGGCACACAGACATACATGCAGGCAAAACACCATACATATAAAACAAAACATTTCTAAAAATTAAAAAATTTTAAAGTAGAAAATATGTCTCTTCCAACACAGCAATTAATCCCAACATTTGACTATAATAAGTAAAACGAAGCAAGGTTGCAGGGTTGTTCCAGGGGTTAGCGGTTCACTAGCAACTGACCCAAGAGACATTGCAATGGATGAGATGCTGTATGAAGAATTCAAAGCAACTAGTTCTTTAAAGGTCAATGTATTGCAAAACAATACAGAAAGATAGTGGGACAAGTTAAGAAAGACAAAATATAAATGAGAAATTCAATAAAAAGATAGATATTTAAAAAAAAAAGCAAAAGCAAGTCTTGGGTATGAAATACTCATTGAGCCAGTAAAATATTTGAGTAGAAAGCCCTGCCCCCTCTAGGGACCAGCTCAAGCAGAAGAGTGTCCCAGGACATGAACACAAGTGATGAGTTAGAGCAACGAGACAGTAATAAAGAAAACACTAAGAAATTATGAACAGAATATACAAGAACTCTAGAGGGTGGAGGCAAGAAGATCTGAAGTTCAAGTTCATCCTTGGCTACATAGTTGAGTTTGAGGCTAGCCTGGGTTATGTGACATTCGGTCTCAAAAATCAAAGACAAGTTTTACATATTTTTGTGTTAAAGACACAGAAAAGTATCTAGGGAAATGGTGTCTAAAAAACAAAAACAAAAACAAAAACAAAAAAACACCCTCCCAAGTCCTGGAAAAGATATGGACATACATGTATAGGAGGCATTTACGCATGACCAGATGAGAGCTTCCCCATGCCATATTATAGCTACACACAACAAAGGACTGAGGGAGATATGAGGGCCCTTCTGAAAAGGACTCCAGTATCTCAGAAAATACTATCAAAAAGTGAAAACTGGAATTACATCTTATAACAGTGGAAAACTAAACAGTGAACAGAGAGCTACAGTATGGGAGAAAATCTTTCCTGGCCATTTATCCAACATAGGGTTAACGCCCAGCATTGTAGAAGTACACCAAGTGAAGAGATAAGCCAACCAACAAGTGAGTAAAGTGTAGGGCTTTACATATGGCTCTCAAAAGAGGGGGGGCAAGTGGCTAAAGAAAGGTGTTCACTGTCTTTAACCACCAGGGAAACGTCAATCAAAGACACATTGAGATTCCATCTAAGGCTAGAGCTACCCCTCATTGGTGGAGTGTATGCCTACCAAGTGTGAGGCCCTGAGTTTAATCCCCAGTACAACAGATGATAGATAGATAGACAGACAGAGATAGATAGATAGATAGATAGATAGATAGATAGATAGATAATGGATAGAGAGCTTACCTCACACTGCCGGTGGGAATGGAAAGTAGTTAAATCACTGTGGAGATCTATGCAGAGCATCCAAAAAAAATAGAACTACTGTGTGGACCAGATAGAGCACTGCTAAATTTACATCCTCATGACCCAAAGACAGCACCCAACAGAGACATCTGCACATCCACAGTCCCTGGGGCATCATTCACAATATACAGCTTGGGACTCTACCTCAAAGTTCAGCAATGAATAAGCATATCTTTCAATGAAATACATGTGTGTTGTTCAACAATAAATGAAAAGGAAAATACACTGCCTGCAGCAAGACAGATTGCACAGAGATTACCATGTTCATCGAGATAAGCCAGACTCAGACAAACACTCCATTCCCCCCCCCCCCTTATATGTGGGATCTGGGCTGGGGACCAAGTCATAAAAGGGTGACTACTGAGGAAAGGGATGTGTGGAGGGTAGGAGAGACAGCTGTATAGGATCAAGGGTATTGTGTGCATGTATGAAAATAGTGATACCCACTGCGCTGTGCAGTCAGTGCACACTAATAAAAACATTAACAAATAGGCAGCAAAATACAAGTGAGAAAACAGGAAGGACCAGAGAAGGTGGAGACGTAACCGTCAGCAAATTCCATCCTCATCTTTCCAACAGACAATTCAGTAGCTGCTACTCAAGTTTTGATAAATGAAGAACCTGGAAGTTCAAACATCACCGGCCAGGCGCAAACAAACCCTGGTAATGCTAAGGTTGCCCATGGGGATGAAGGTGGGCTCTGAAGAGCCAGAAGTCGTTTGGAGAGAGGACAGTGTCCTGGAGAGTAGGAGTCAAGGTACGAAGGTGCTGGTGCCTGCACAAGGACTTTGGGCTCCAGTTATAGCAAAGTCACAGGACACACTATGTTGGCCACCTCCATCCTTTCATTCCTGCTCAGTGCCCTGAGGTGATCCGTATTTGACTCCTGGTTGGGGTCGCTTGTACTCTAGTTGTATCTAGACAGTGACCAGCAGGTGAAGGTCAGGAATATCCTCCTCACTTCTTCCTGATTCTGGCCATCAGCCACGCTGGAAGGCAGTCCTGCCTGCCTTCTCTTACCCCTTCTGATACTGGGTGTTATAGTCGCCCGCCTTCACCAGACAAAGAAATACACCATGGGGCATTTCCATGACTGATACCTGCCTGCACCTTTTTACAAAGTCCCCTTAATAAATCCTTCTCCAAATGCCCAGTTTCAATGTGCCAGCCACCTGTTTCCTGCTGTAGCTCGTAAAAACCATTCATTCAATCACATTTAGGAAACACAAAAGGGAAATGGTCCCCCGCAAGCCACAGCCACCAAACACAGGCAGGGTTAATGTGTTGGCATACTTCTCTACGGTCTCCTTTTCATGCCCGTCTTTTGCGAGGCTGTCATTGTCACTTGCCTGCAATCACACGTGGTCATCTTCTCACCGAGCCCCATATTACAAACACTTTAGCAGCCATAGCTACCATTTAACAGGGCTTGCTCTGTTCCAGGTAAAACTGTGGGTGTGGAATTCGCATTATCTCGCTTCATTCTCGAAGCAATCTCATGAGGTAAATGTCCTTGCTGCCATCTGAGAGAAGAGCTCCCAGCTAGAAGATTGCTTTCATCATCTCTCTAGGCAACTGTCTGGTCAGACCCTCACTTTACCCCAACCAGTGGGAGAAATCTAAGAAATCACGAAAGGTTTGCAACTGCCCACCAAGGACATTTCAGGGGGGATCCTGTCCATATAACGAGAATAGCAAAGGTCACACTGACATGCATGAGTTAATAAGAGCTACAAAATAAGCTCTCCACGGATTCTTTCTGATAATCTACAAGGTAGGCAGTGTTAGAAGATGGCAATTTGACAGCTTGAGGCATCAGGGCTTCGAGAGATCAAGAGCCTTGCCTATGGGTACTAGATGAACCTCAAGCCCAATCAGCTCCTGGCTGCCCTGAAATTCCACCTTGCTGTTCATCCCCAAGGAAGGCAGGAGGAGGCAATCAGGAGAGGAAAGCCACAGCAGAGCTGTGCGCTGTGTGTGACATACTTCCCAGGACCTTCCTGTTCACATGCTTGTCACAGGCATCCCACTGTCCCCACCAGGTCACCCTCACCAAGGTGGTAGGTGAACCATGAATATGTTCCATGGTGCCTCCTTGTCCATGTTGGGTGATGGAGCCGACCAAGCTCCTAAGCCATGTTTATTTATGTGGATTACAACA